TTTTTATTGTTTTATAATATTTTTAAATCATGCAAGGAGTGTTACTACATTTATTGATAAATAGGTAAAACATGCGAGGTTGCGAGCTACATTTACTATCTAATAGCCTACTGCTACAGGGGAGTGCTGCTACATTAACTATCTAATTATTAGATAGTTATCTAATTATTAGATAGCAGCAGGCTATTAAATAGCCTGCTGCTACAAGGAAGTGCCACTACATCAAATAAGGGTTTGGTTTAGGTAAAAAATCTATCATTAAAAAAAAACTTTATTCAAGTGTTTAAACTTTTTCTGGTCTGGTTTTTCTAGCGTTCAATTTAAAACTAGACTTTATGGAAGAAACTTTTCAAGTACTATGCAGGACTATTTAGATATACGTATGTATATGTATACACACACACACACACACACACACACACACACACACACACACACACACACATGGATATATATATATATATATATAAAATCCTCAGAAATAGGAAAATAAGGCACAAAATTTTGAAACGTTTGACAAAAGTTTGACAAATCGAAAATGTGCAAACATTTAGCATAAAATTGACAGAAAAACAAGAGCTGAGTTTGCTGTGTTTTAGTTAAATGTCAATGGTTTCCGAAAATTTTTTAAAATAAAACTTTTGTTCTGCTATTTTTATTTTGAAATAATAGTTAAATAACTATTTTGTTTAAAAATTAAATGTTCCTCAATTTTGTTTAGAAATTAAAACATTCTTTATTCATTTTGTTTACAATTTAAGTGAAACGTTTGGATTGAAAATTTAAATAAAACGTTTGTTTTTCGTTTTTATTTTAATTATTTTATTTTGAATTTAAGTAAAATTTTTGTTTTGCCTTTTTAATTTATTTGAAATAGCAAATAAAATTAAGTTTTAAAATTCTGAGGTCTGCAATCTTTTACCAACCACAAACAGTGACAGGTCAGCAGTTAGGTTGGCAATGCTGAATACCATATATATATTTATATAAATATATATAAATATAATATAATATATATATATATATATATATATATATATATATATATATATATATATATATATATATATATATATATATATATATATATATATATATATATATATATATATATATATATATATATATATATATATAGGCTTGGTCGGGGAGTGGGTGCGGTCGCACATGATAATTGACCACGGAAATATTATTTAGTTGTGAAAAATTGGCCAGATTTTTTAGTTGTTTTGAAAACAACTAAAAAACAAACAAAAAAGCGCAATAAGATTAACTGGACCGATGAGAGACAGTTAAAAAAAGAAAAATAGCTTTTAACGCGAAAAAACTTTAAGCAAAATAAATTTATTAGAGTAATTATTTTTGAAACGTCGCTCTTTTACAATTTTTTTTTATAAAATTAAGCGACATTTTTTATATAAAGTAACAACTATAAAGAAACAAATGTTCTTCGATTTATCAAAGAGTATATATAATTTTTATTTATATACTTATGTCTTATTTCTAGTGCTGGATTGAGGAGGTGGGGTGAGGGTAGTAGGGCTATAGCCCCGGGACTCACAATGTTAGGGGAAATAGTCAAGAGAACCATTCGGTATTTTTTTAAGTCATTTTAACGCTGTGGCACATAAAAAAGGCCGCCAAAATAATGCAGCAAAAGTCCAACAAGATTCAACCAGATGATTTATTTATAAATAAAAAAGTTTTTTCAATAACTGTTTTAAGCTTCGCGTAGTTTAAAAAGTTTAACACATTTGAAACAATTCTTCTAAGTAAGATGAACAAATGAAATAATTAAATCATTGAGTTACTGTAGAAATTCAATAAGCTAGATAGAAATTAACAAAAAACGTTAAATTACTTTGTGAGGAGGAAACGGAACTGCTTCACAATACCGCTGATGAGTGGGCTTTATAATTTTAATTAATATTTAGAACAAAAAAAAGTAACTTTAAGCATAACGAGTTTGTAAGAATGGCTGAAGCAAAAATAATTGAAGTTAGTAAACCAATTTCTAAGAACTTAAAAACTTTTCTTTCTTGGGACAAAGAATCAGTTATCGGGTACACTGAGGAAAGTGGATTAGAGGTTAAATTATTTGTATTAACTTTGACGATTATTAATAATTTCATTGAAAACGCAGTTATTATTGAAAGTATTTTTGTTTACAAACTCAATAGCACAAATTGCTTTAAAAGATTACATTTGAATAAAATACACATACATAAAATTACATAGATAAAAATACATTACATACATAAAAAATACACCCTTATATATAAAATAAGAATATACTAATAAAATCTATAATATATTTACAAAATGTTGACAAGTTAAAAAATATAAATTTAAAATATTTATTATTGTAAACAAATAATGTTACTTTAAAACATTTATAGCTTTGTAGATGTGGCTCCAAAAATTAAAATAATAGTTCGTTTGATAGTATATTCTTAAAATAATTTATGTTAGAAACCTCAACGAAAACGTAACAAAATTTAAATAATACAACTTTTTAAAATATTTTAACAGAATACTCAAGACATTTGGTTAGTATTTTTTGAATACTCTAGAAATTTCGGTTAGTATTTTTTGATCCAATAGAATTAGTTGTTCGTAGATTTGGCAGGTTTTTCATGTTCGCAAATATTCTTTTTTTATTTTTCCGCATTAAGATGTTTGAGAACATTCAAGTTTATGTATGTTTTCATGCAAGTCCGTAAAACAAAATATTTTAAAATTTACCATAAAATGAACTTATTAGCTTGCGGACAAACAAGGAAACTTACGTAAACTTAAATGTTTACGTAAGTTTCCTTGTTTGTAAAATCTGGCCGGTTTATCGCAACTAAATATTATTTCCGTGGTCAGTTATCGAGTGCGATCGCACCCGCTTCCTGACCAAGCCTATATATATATATATGAATATATATATATATATATATATATATATATATATATATATATATATATATATATATATATATATATATATATATATATATATATATATATATATATATATATATATCCTTATAGTGTAGTCGAAAGAGACTTTTACGGTAAAAAAAGTCTCTTTCGACTACAATTTTTATTACCTCGTCTCTTAAGCTGTATTTGATTGTCATTGAAATATCAAAGCAATTAAATTAATGCGGAAGTACATTAAATTTTATTGTTTTTTAAAAAAACCCAATAACAATGACTAGAAAGTTTTTTTTAATTAGTGGTGTTTTTGTTTTTGTTTTATTAAAAAACATTTTTAAAACATGCGTAAGTGTTGCTATATTGACTATCTTATAGCCTGCTGCTACAAGGGAGTGTTGCTACATCGACTATCTTATAGCCTGACTCGCAACGGAGTGTTGCTACATTGACTGACAAATAGACAAATAGCATATTTATCGACATTAACAACACCAATTTACTTAATTACCGCAAAACAACTTTAAATCATTAATGTAGAAATGTTATTATTTAAAAATGTTTTGGAATGTTGCGTTTTTTAAAATGTAAAAACATTTGTTTATTTTCTCGACATTTGACATGTTTTCTATACTAAAGGAATAAAAAACATTATTACTAAAAATTAAAAAAAGATTATAAAATATGCTAATATTTGATTTTTTTTTTCTCAAATTTGTAATTTTTAATGCTTACAAGGAATTTTATTTCTAGTAAAATAAAATAAAATAAAATGTTAGAATAAAAATCTTATAGGTATAAAAGATATAATTCAGCAAAAAAGTTTGCATATTGAACAATATTTAATAAAGGGTGCGCTAAAATAAAAAAAAGAAAACATTACGTGGTTAAATATGAGAATTAATTTTTATTTTATTTTTTACGTTTATTGAGCCTTTTTCAAAGTGTTTGTGGAAATTCGCTTTACAGCGGTAGAAACGGGGTAAAAAAACCAGGTTATATAAACTTATCAAACTATTGACATTCTATTTTTCAGCTGCTGTTCTTCAGCACGCTTCGTTGAGTTTCGGTAATTTTTAACAAAAAAGCGATTGTTATTATTTAAGTAATTTATTTTGAGTTACTTTTTACAAAAATTTTAACAACTGTACCTTTTTATTGAATCAAGTAGAATACGTTTTAATATTAATCCTTTTATTTTTTTTTATTTGCGCTTACCAATTTTTAAAATGTTTCCTCGAAATTACTCTTAAATACTTTAAATACGTCTAACAGTTAATAAATATTTTTATATCTATGGAATAATTTTAAAACCTAACAAACTCCTGTAAAATAATTAAGTTAAAAATCTAAAACTAAAAGAAAGTATTTTTGTTCAATTTTATCGACAACTTTGCTATTGCTGAATAATTTTATTAAAATGTTAGCTTAAAAAGATTTAAACTTTTTTTTTATTCTGAATATTTTCTACTTGTAAATAATGTGCATATTTAATTTTTTTGTAATTTAAACTTTTATATCAACTGCGCGCGGTTTTTAAAATACTTTATTAAATGTTAAAATAATCGTAAATTACTTCATTAAAATCCCGCTCAAAAATATCTTTAAATATACAAAACAAAAAATTTGTTGCTTGACGCAAATAGCCCTAGCTACATGCAAAATTGCTCTTGGACGACGTAAAATTCACATCGCCCGACGCTTTATCGCAAGGCCTGATATATATATATATATATATATATATATATATATATATATATATATATATATATATATATATATATATATATATATATATATATATATATATATATATATATATATATATATATATATCTGTATATATATATCTGTATATATATATATCTGTATATATATATATATCTGTATATATATATATATATATATATATATATATATATATATATATATATATATATATATATATATATATATATATATATATATATATATACACAGATAGACACACACACCTTAAATCTTTAAAAGTTGAAAGTGCAAAATTAAATGTACTTTAATTTGTTGTTCAGTGCTTGAATAATAAAAAATCTTACCTTTTTTTCTTTACTTTTTTTGAGGGAATTTTTTGATGAAAAATTAAACACATCGCTTTCTGAAGCAAAAATGTCATCTATACTTTTTTCATTTTTTTCTGTTAAGTTAACATTTTTAGATCCTGCATTAAACACATTAGCAGAAGTCAATGTATTTGTAAACGCTAAACTTGATAGTTTGTTTTCCTGCTGAGATTCAAATAAATTAGGGTCAAGTTCATTTTTTAATGTTCCTGCATCAGAAAATATATTTTCTTTAAACGCATCTTTAGAATATTTTGAAGAAAAAATATCATTTTCAAGTAAATTGTTTTTTATTGAGACATTTTGCTGACTCATGGTTGATTCCTGATAAGGTGATACTGTAAGAGGTTCATTATTACGAGAAGGATTCAAAAAGTCATCTTGACTATATGAAGAGCTTTCAGAAATATTATTCACAAATTCATCATTAAAGTCTTCCTTATCCAAATTATGTTGGGATTTCCTTGTGGGAGGTCTGCGGCTTCCATTACCCCGTACTCTTGTCTAAAATAACAAAAGATTTTAAAATTAAATACTTCTATTTAATTTAAATTTTTGAGCTTTTTTCTGGTAATAAATATAATATAAAAAAAGAAATTAAAAAAACACCAAATTAATGTAAAATTTAATTTAAATTTAGATTTTTATTTTATCAATTTCTTTAAAACAACTAAAAATCATTGAAGTTTGAAAAAACGAAAAATATTTAAATAAATAATTCAAGTGTTTGTATTTTAGTGAATTACTTTAATGGTAAGCATACCTATTTCAGAAAAAATATTTATCAAAAAAATGAGTAGTTTGGAAAAGAAACCTATCAAAATGATATTTCAGCATTATTTCAAAACTGCAACAAAAGTAATAATTTCAAAAAATATTTGTTTCAAAATGGGGTTTTGAGATTTTTTTCAAAAAACTAATGAAAGAAAAATGCCAAAAAACATGAAAAAGGGAATAATTTCAAAAAGACAACTAAAATTGCTTTGTTTTGAAAACCAATTGAAAAAAAAAATCAAAGAAAAATGTCAGCAAATTTTGTTGATCAGGATTTTTAAAAAATTAAAGTTGAGCAAAAAAGTTCAAGCATTAGGCCCAGTGAATAAAAATGAGCAATTGCTTTTACTCAGTAATTGGTCAGCTTTACGTGAATAAAAACTTTAGCAGTTTTGGTAAAATTTTTATTCGCGTAAAGTAAGCAATTTAATCAGTAATTGCTCAGCTTTACATGAATAAAAACTTAAGTAAAATTGCTAAAGTTTTCATTCACATAAAGCTAACCAATTACTTTTACTGAGTAAAATCAATTGCTCATTTTTATTCACCTGGCCTAATATCTGGTGTGGTAATTATGTATGGCTACACTTGTGACAAAATTTACGAAGAAAAAATTTATCTGAAGTGTTGTATCTTCATCTCCATGAAATGTAAAGGGTGAGTCTACATTGAAAAAGAAAAGCTTTTTGAATCATGCTTGTACAGTTGCAGCTGGGGTGTTCATACACCAACTGACATAAAATAGGGACAGACATAATGGAGTGTACTTCTAAGTACAAAAAGTTTGGGTTGGGCAGGCAGTCAAAAAGAATAATTTAAAACTATTGAAAGCCTATTTCTCTGCTTTAAATTAAGAAAATATAAATCTTTATTTTGAATCATGCTTGCACAATTGTAGATTGAATAAGTCACCCTTTTAGAAATTATTCTTACTTCAAATTTATTTCATGGTTTCGAACTTATTCTTGATTATGATTTTCAAAATTATTCCTTTTTGCGATTTTAAAACAGGTACTGCTACCCTTACTTTAGTAATAGTATTTTATTTTTTTTCACATTTTTTTTAAACTATATTTACATATACTTTATTTTAATAATTTAAATTATATTAAAAATAAATATAAAGTAAATTTTATTATTGTTGATTATCACTGTCAAAGTTGATTATCTGAGATTGTCAGGACAAAGACATCTGATGATTACAAAGATAACTGGTGATAGAGAGATAATGATAATTACAGAAACATGATTAAAAAATATCGGATGAATTTAAAGAAATATCCTGGTTTATTTTTTTTTTAATTTAACAGAAACGATCACATCTCCTTTAAATTAATCAAGTAATTTATTTATTATTTTTATTAAATTTAAAGTATAATTACCAAAAATTTTAAATATTTTTTTACTAAAACACTTGTTTTTTGTCTAAAACCTTATACAAGCATAGCTCAAAAACATGAACCTTATTTTAAATTGAAACATCACACACATTAACAACCACTGCACCACTACCACTTATATGAGACAACCACACCACTACCTTTTATATTTAATAACTCAACACCACTATATTTAACATCAGATATGCTCAGACAACTGTTAATAATATTCATTCAGTACATCAAGTCAACAGATGGCATCAATCTAGGAAAACCCTGTAGAAGACCAAGAGTTAACATTCCAAAAACCTACAACATGATACACTATTTGGTTGTAAAGAACATACAGATTTCAAGCTCACAAATTCTAACACAACTGTCTACAAGTTTGAATGTTTGTGCAAGCATAGTTTGAAGATGCTTAGCCAAAAAAATATTAGTCTCAAATTTAGTAAAAAACACAAGGATTGGACTGTCAAAATGTGGCAACATATCATATTCTTAAATGAAGTGCAAGTATAACAGTTTACTGCACACAAAGCCAATGTTTGCCAGTCACCAAACTCAAGATTGAAGCCCTGCTATGTTGCAATGGCCAGCAATTATGATTATGATGAAATCACTGCAATTGAGGCGCAACCATTGTCGTGCTGGTTTACACTTTTTACAACAAGGTGAGACGATTCCATGAATTTTATTGAATTATGAGTTATTAAGAAATTTTAAGAAGTATGATATGCCATAGATTTGGATCCAAGAAAATAAGAATAATGTTCCTGATCTATAGCTGGGCAATTCATCTGATAAAAATCCCATCAAAACCTATTGGGTAAATTAAAAAGCAGAAACTTGCAAACAGAACCCAACCTCACTAGCAGATCTGAGTGAAGTCATAATAAAAGTGTGATGTCATAAAATAATACCAGAAAATTGAGATCTTTTTGATCATAAGTGTATAAAAAAGAATTGCACATGATAAAACTTTAACTATAAAAAGAGTTCTATGTGATAAAACTAAATCATTTATTATGTCTGTATTAAAACATTACATAATACATCTAAATAGATGTATTATGTAATAAAGTGTAGAAATAACTTCAAAATATAACTATATCATATTTAACAATAACTCTTCCCACAATAAAATGATAATAGTCTGTATTAGTGATAAGTGTTCAACTCTTCCCCAATAAATTTAATGATAACAGTCTGTATTAGTGATAAGTGTTCAACTCTTCCCTCAATAAATCTAATGTTAATAGTCTGTATTAGTGATAAGTGTTTAACTATTCCCCCAATAAATCTAATGATAACAGTCTGTATTAGTGATAAGTGTTCAACTCTTCCCTCAATAAACATAATGATAATATTCTGTATTGAAATCCATTTTTTAAATTAGAAAATGTTTCAGAAGAACTTTGTTTAATGGAGCATATTACTTTTTTAATACAATAATTTTTTATTTTCTCAAAGATATCTTTTAAAAAGATAATAACTTTTTTTTTAGCAACTTATATATTAATGCATTTTCAATCTTTTTAGTACTATGAGTTTATTTTCCATTTTTAATATTCTATTATTATTATAAAAATTTGAAAGTAATTTAGGTTTCTATAGCAATACTAATATTTTTTAGGTTTCTATAGCAATACTAATATTTTTTTGATTAACAATTATTATTTAAACAGAATCCAACAACAACAACAACAAAAAAATATAATTAATAAATATATATATATATATATACAAACTTTGACTATATTATCAAGGGTTTTAGCTTTCGGTGGCTCGTCAAATGTTGGAGATTCTGTTAAAGAAGATTTTCTATTATAAACTTGTCCAGGTATCATTTTAGTTGGATTCAAATTAAGCAATCCCTGTAATAAATGAACTAACTTATATAACAAGCTTAGAGTATAATTGAACTTTTTAAAACTTTTTAATTTTATTAATCTAACCTGTAACTTTCCGATTCCGCTTTCTGATTTATTGAACAAATTATTTGATACTTTAGAGTCAACTGTAGAAATTGGAGGCACAAAAGAATCAACAGAATCAAAATTTTCATTTGATTTTTCAAAAAGATTGTTTTGATCAAATTTTAAATCAGGAAGTGATTTTTTTGTATCTTTTTGATCATTAAAAATGTCAGTAGAGACATCTTTTACATCATCTAAAAGTATAACTAATTACATAAAAAACTAAAAACAATATAAATAAGAAGAAATAATGGTGAAATAAAATGATTTTAAGCAGGTATTATAAAGGAAAAGAGTACTAAATAAAAGGTCACATGATAAGATAAGAAATTAAAAAAATGGAATCATAAATGGTTATAAAAAAATCACTTGATAACATAAATATGTAAAATTTATCAGACATCTTGTAAGATCAGTAAAATAATTTTTAAAAAATTTCAGAAAAAAAATCTGATGAAGAATAAAGGTTATTAAATCAGTTTAACAATATTAACAAAAAAATTTCTTCAACTTATCTTACAGTGTGAAAAAATAACTAGAAGAGAAAAGGATCATTTATCATCATTTATGTTTCATGTTTGTTGTGTCATAAAAATTAAATAAAAGAATTTAAAAATCAATCAAGAAAAGAAACATAATTAATAAACAACTAGATTTAATCACAACTTTATTCCATCATGTTTGTGTTTAAAACACAAACATGATGGAATAGCCAATAACAAAAGCAATAGACTTTAATTCCTTATGTCCATCAACACCAATTGCACAATAAAATCTCTTCAAACAAACATAATGGAGAAGCAATTTTAGCAGATTCAATCGAGAAAAAAAACAAAAAGTGTTTGTACTTTTGGTGTGCATTGCCAAGTCCACATTGGAGCCCTTTGTTACGGCTTAGGGTTTATTAGTGGAAATGAGGCAATTGCTTGGGCCATAAAACAGTGTACTGAGTACTATCTATGTTTCAAGTCAAGTTCTTTAACAAATTTAAAAATGAATAAAGTAACAAAAACTATAAAACACAAAAAACCACAGTCATCACCAAGTTTGCTAAACCTATCATTCACCAATATTTGTGGTCTTCTAAGTAATTTTTGTTCTGTTGAGTCTTATCTCTTGCAAAGTTCACCAGACCTACTTGCTCTTTGTGAGACTAATTTGAGTTCTTCTGTCTCATCTTGCGATCTTAGTGTTGATGGTTATCTTCCTTTAATTCGTAAAGACTCCAATAGTCACATGCTTGGCCTGGGCATTTACATTCGTAAGAATTCACCCATTTGTCGGGAAACTAGGTTTGAATCCACAGACTACTCTTTTATGCACCACTTCACTCTATCACCTTTCTCTTTGTTCTATATCGCTCTCCTTCATCTCAAGACTGCACTATTCTTGATGTTATTTCTGATTATATTGACCAAGCCCTCATTCTTTATAATTCAGCCAATATTGTTTTTGTCGGTGACTTTATTGTTCATCACACTGAATGGCTTGGCTCTAGTGTCAGTGACAACTTTTGCCTTTCTCAATCCCTAACTCAAATAGTCAACTTTCCAACTCGCTTTCCAGACAACCCGAATCATTTACCTTCTCTACTCGATTTATGATCCTAGTCAGTGCTCAGTTTCTCCACACTCAACCTTAGGTATTCTGATCATGGTTTGGTCTCTCTAAAACTATTATCTCATTCTTCTTTACCATCAGAATCCCCATATCATCGTACATCTTACAACTACTTTAAAGCTGACTGGGACTCTTTCCGTGATTTTCTTCGTGATGGCCCCTGGGTAGAAATCTTTTGTCTTCCTGTTGACAAATGTGCTTCTTACATAACTTCCTGGATTCAGGCTGGCATGGAATCCTTTATTCCCTCTCGATGATTCCAGTTCAAGCCTCACTCTTCTCCATGGTTTTCCTCACATTGTGCTGCTGCAATTGCCAATCAAAACCATTACTTCCATATCTATCAGCAAAACAATTCTTCAGAAAACAGACGTCTGTTTATTACAGCTAGAAACCATTGTAAAAAGGTTTTGTCTAAAGCCAAATCCCGCTATTCTCAGATCATGAAATATCGTGTTTCTTCACAAAAATTAGGCGCTCGTGACTTCTGGAGAATCTTTAATAGTATCAATAATAAGGGCAAGTCTGTAATTCCACCTCTTTTGTATAGTTCAGATTTTGTCACCTCACCTAAAGACAAAGCTGAACTGTTTGCCAAAAACTTTTCATCAATATCATCTCTTGATTCCACTAGTTGCGTTCTACCTGATATAGCCGTCAAACAGGTTGATCCATTGCTCGACATCCGTATCACTCCAGCTTCTGTTTCTAAAGTGATTTCCTGCTTAGACTCTTCTACAGCTTGCGGCCCGTACAACATACCTGTTATAGTCTTGCAGAAGTGTTCTCCGGAGCTGTTGTCTATCCTTTCAAAACTATTTAACAAGTGCTTACCAGAGTCTTGTTTTCCAGCCTGCTGGAAAGCGATCTGATTCGTCTAACTACCATCCCATTAGTCTTCTTCCTATCATAAGCAAAGTTTTTGAATCTTTAATTAACAAAAACCTAATCTCTCATCTTGAATCTAATAACTTACTTTCTGATCATCAATATGGATTTTGTTCTTTTTGTTCTACGGCTGATTTGCTAACAGTAATAATCGATAGGTTTTATTGTGCATTAGAAAAAGGTGGAGAGGTTAAGGTCATTACTCTTGACATTTCTAAAGCGTTTGATAAAGTTTGGCATGCTGGTCTTCACCATAAGCTTTCTTCTTACGGTGTATCTGGAAACATCTTTAAGATTATTGAATCCTTCCTTTCCAATCGTAGTATAAAAGTTGTCCTTGATGGACAGCACTCTTCTTGTTATTCTGTAACCTCAGGGGTTCCTCAAGGTTCAATCGTTGACCCTATACTCTCTTTAATTTACATAAACGATCTTCCAGATATTCTCACATCTAATTGTTCGCTGATGATACTACCATTTATTCTCACAATAAGCAGGCTTAATCGGGAAGCGGGAGCGATCGCTCTCAATTGCTGACCAAATAGTATTTAGTTGCGAAAAGCAAAGTCTTTGTTTAAATCATAAAAATTGCTTTAAAAGATATATTACAATAAAAAACAGATACACACAATTACATTTACATAAAGAATACATACTTTTTAAATGAAAAATAAGAATATACTAATAAAATCTATAGTTTATAATAAACTTTTAAAATTTTGACAATTTAATTAATATATATTTAAAACATTTTTTTTTTGTAAACAAATAGTATATATTCTTAAAACAATTTATGCTAGAAATCTTAAAACGTAACAAACCGTGAATAATACAATTTCTAAAACATTTTAACAGAATACTCTAGAACTTTATTTCGCTTAGTCAGCGTATTTTTTAAACCAATAGAATTAGTTTGTTCGTTAATTTGGAGGGTTTTTAGTGTTCGCAAATATTCTTTTTCTTCTTTCGCACCAAGATATTTTGAGAACATTCAAGTTGTTTATGTTTCCATGTATGTCCGTAAAACAAAAATTTTTTGTGTCGTACATAAACTTAAATGTTCTCAAAACGACTAAAAAACATGGCCAGTTTTTCGCAACTAAATATAATTTCCGTGGTCAGTATTCGAGAGTGATTGCTCCCGCTTCCCAACCAAGCCTGAATAAGAAGCCAACTCCCTCTGATTGCTTGCAGGGGGTATCTGAGCTTGAAAAGGATCTCACTTCTGCTACAGCATGGGGCTCACAGTGGCTGGTGAACTTTAATTCAGATAAAACTCAATTTTTTTCAGCCAATAGTTATTGCAATAATTTAGACCTTCCTATATTTATGAATGGTAATGTACTCGATGAGTCTCCTACCCTTCATCTTCTAGGATTAACTCTTACTTCTGATCTTTCTTGGAAACCTTATATCAAATCCGTTGCAAAATTAGCTTCTGCTAAAGTTGCTTCTCTTTATCGAGCTCGTCACTTTCTTACTCTGGATTCTATTCTCTATCTCTATAAATCTCAAATCCGACCTTGTATGGAACACTGTTGCCATATCTGAAGCGGATCTTCTAATGATGCCCTTTCTCTTTTAGACAAGGTGCAAAAACGCATTGTAAACATAGTTGGACCTGCTCTTGCAGCCAACCTTCAACCTCTGTCACATCGTTGTAATGTTGCTTCTCTTTCTTTTTTCTACAAATACTATAATGGTATACAAATACACTGCTCTAAAGAGCTAGCATCTCTTGTGCCATTTACTAAAATTCATTCTCGTGTTACTTGCCATTCAATTAAGTCTCATCTTTTTTCTGTTACTGTTCCTAAGTGCTCCAAAAACTCTTACTCGTCTAGTTTTTTTCCTCGAACATCAGTTCTTTGGAATTCGCTCCCTTCATCTTGTTTTCCTGATTCATATAATTTGAATACAATCTTCATCTTTTCTCTTCCAGTAACTTCCAAAACTAATTAGTGGTTGCTTGCAGCCTTGTTGGAAGCAAAGCAAAAAAACAAAAAAAAAACAAAAAAAAAAAACAAACAAACAAACACAATGAAGAAGCAATGTTAGCAGATTTAGTCAAGAAAACAAACATAATGAAGAAACAACTTTAGCAGATTTAATCAAGAACACAAACATGATGGAATAGCCAATAACAAAACCAATAGACAAAGTTTTATAAGTATATGAAAGAAAACTAATTGACAAATAAAAGAAATGGATAAATCTTCAAAATCTCAAGAGAGTAAGTCAACATCATAAATCTTTTAAAAAAAAACATATTTATTTACTGAAACTATGACAATTAAAGAAATCTAACAAAGAATCTTGGCTTATTATAGTGGTTATTATAATAATAAAATAAAACAAGTTTTTTGCAAACAATTTTGCTCTATCCTTGGAAAAACCTAAAAAATTAAAAAAAGACATTGCAATGGCTAAAAGACTTTATCAAATCTTCAAGATTATAAAAGTTAAGCTCTTAATTATTTTCTGAAAATTATAGAGAGCCTTAGAGATGACATGAATTATTGAAATGATTATAATAAATGATGAGATTTCTCTAACAAGAAATTTAGTCATTATATAATTATATAGCTAAATGTTTTTTTAAGTTTAATATCCATTGCATAGTTGTTACCTGTATAGTTTAGATGAGTTTCTATAATGCCAATTTTTATTGAAATTAAGGAACAATTCCATTATGAAACAGTTAAAACAAATTTTTACAACTAAATGCCTTTTCTAATGTTCCCCCAGTTTTTCAGGATGGAGTGTTTTTATTGTGATACAAAGAGAATTACTACATGGTATTGATTATTATAAGAAAAAATTCAAAGAGAAGTGACAAACAAATAAGGGAGAAGAAAATGTAAGCGTAGCAGAGAGGTACTTAATATAAATTATTATCAATTAGAATATTTGTATTTTATATATGCTTATTATATTTTCTTACGATGTTTTACTTTCTCTTAAGATGTTTACTTTAGATATTTAGCTGTAAATATAATTTAGTTAAATATAATATTACATAAATTTAATAGTTACTAACAATTAAAATTACAATAAAAAATAAAAATAAAAAACAAATTGAATGTAACACAAAAAATGAAATAAAAATCCAAAAATATAAAATATAAAAAGCAACTTATGTCAAAAATAAAACTCACCATTTGATTTTAGTGTTTCTGCTAAAGGATCTTTTGCAAGGTTTGGAAACACATCAATTTTTTTCGAATCAGGTGGTATGACAGAAGCAGTTTTCATTTTTGAAAACAAATCATCTTCGATATCATCAAACAAAGTTGATTTATTAGATTCAACTTTTTTTTGTACTGGAGCACTAACTGCTAAATTTTCTTTTTTCATTGTAGTTTCAACTGACTTTTTGACTTTGTCAGCTTTGACAACAGATTTTGATTTTGTAGAAAAAATATCTTCATCGTCATCGCTGGAAAAGTCAAATACACTTGCCTTTTTACTTGTTTGTTGAGAATTGAGCTAAAAATTTAGAATAATCAACTATATTTTTACTATGAATTTGAAGTCATAATTAGAATAATTAACTATATTTTTATTATAAATTTATAATTTTATTTTTATTTTAGGTGCCCCAAGAAGACCTTACAGTCTTATCACAGAGCACCACGGATGAAAATTTATTAGGAAGTTCACACCTCCTTTCTAACCGATGTCGCATAACCTGCTCAGAAGTGGAATTTGAACCACAGATCCTTTGTTTATGAGGTAAGTGCCACTGGGCCACGGCTGCTTTAGAATAATTAATTATACTTTTATTATAGTACTAAAAAGATACTAATGGTTTTAAGTATAAGAAGGCTGTAAAAAATGAAAAATATATATGGGCCTCAGCTAGAGTAAATGGGCGCGAGAGCGAATAAAAGCTCTACTAAAAAGAACATGGCAAGCCATGCCAACTGCTCCTCTAAACAGCTTCTTAGAAGAGCTTTGGTGTTTAGCATGACCTATCTGTTTATTCATTTAAGAAAATGCTTATTAAATACAAAATTTGGTTTTATACTTGTTAAAAGCATATGGTTGTATTGTTAATGTTACAAGAATATATACATAACAAGCATCATCTATTGCGGCATAAAAAATTCTTTAGACAAGTGTTGTTTTCACACTAGCTACCTATTTATTAATAAACAACATTCTTATTTGATAAAAAATTTGTCAAAAATATAAAAGTTTTTACTACTTATAAAAAAATTTATATTTTCATATTGTAATAGAATGCAGGTATTTTAAGAACTATTACAACAATTACAAAATTCATAATAAAAGTGAATAATATATTGAAGCAATTAATATATAAAATATATAATTCATTACATAAAATTAATTTTATATTTTATCAATATAATTTAGAGTCTATTAATTTCATATTTATCAATTAGTCCAATATAATCAAAAACCATTGCATTTCAATCGATGCTCTTTATATTATTATTATTATTATTTTTTGCAACAGTGACTTTTAAAAAGGATTGCAGTTTATTATTTGATTAATTTTTTTTATAAAAATGACTTTGTGTTTTTTATTTTAATTACAATGATAATATATATATATATATATATATATATATATATATATATATATATATATATATATATATATATATATATATATATATATATATATATATATATATATATATATATATATATATATATATATATATATACACACACATATATACATACTTACATTATACATAAACACCATTATACTATTTTTTATAAACAATACTTATATATATTTTTGTTAATACAAGCTGTTAATACAATGTCTGAAATATGTTAATAGCTAAGTTAATACAGTGTAATACAAGTAATACAATGTATACATATGTTAATACAAGTATGTATACATGTGTAATACAAGTAATACAAGTTAATACAATGTAATACAAGCTAAGTTAATACAATGTCTGAAATATGGTACATATAACATTAGTTAGACAAAAAATAAATATCAAATTATATATACAATACAAAAATGCACTCGAATAACAAATCTTACTGGCTTAGTTTTAATTGTTTTTTCAACTTCTTTACCAGGTGCAGATTCAACTACCTTCGATATATTTTTTATTTGTTTTGGTTTAGAACTTGAAAAGAGATCGTCTTCACTATCAGAACCAAATGGAGTAATAATTTTCTTTGATGCTGCTGTTACTGTTGATGGTGGTTGTATGGCAGTAGCTTTTGATGATGTATCCAATAACTATTAACCCAATACGTTTTTTTTTCAATTAAAATTAAAAAACTTTATTTTAATTTAAAAAAAATAAAAATTATCCACATCCAGCTGACCATTTATCATCCAACAAAATACTTTCAAAGAAATTACTACAACTGATTGACTCTTTTTATATTTAAACACTCATGGTTAACACCAATGAAAAACACCAATAATAAATACACTATGCATACGAAAAAATGATACAGTATTACCTTATTAACAGCATAATTATCAGAATTATTATCAGGCTTTATAATGTCATTTTTTGAAGAAGGTTTTATCTCTGCCTGAGGCAAAAAAAGAACATCATTATCATCCACATCGGGCTCAATAGAACCTATAATAAAATATAAACTAAATAATACATAAATTATGATACAATATGTAAAATGATATATTATAAAAATTTATTATTAGCTAATAAATTGTCAGCTATAAATGCATATATATATATATATATATATATATATATATATATATATATATATATATATATATATATATATACATATATATCCAATCAAAAACGTTAGTTCCATATCTATTAGCAAAACAATTCTCCAGAAAACAGACGCCTGTTTTTTACTGCTAGAAACCATTGTAAAAAAGTTTTGTCTGGCGCCAGGGCCCGCTATTCTCAGGTTATGAGATCTTGTATTTCATCACAAGAAATGGGCTCTTGTGACTTCTGGAGAGTCTTTGGCAGTATCAATAGTGGGGCAAATCTGTTATTCCACCTCTTTTATATGTACTTTATCACCTCACCTTAAGACAAAGCTGAATTGTTTGCTAAGAACTTTTCATCAATACCATCTCTTGATTCCACTAGTTGCGTTCTACCTGATATAGGCGTCAAATAGGTTGATCCATTGCTTGACATTTGTATCACTCCAGCTTCTGTATCTAAAGTGATTTCCTGCTTAGACTCTTCTACAGCTTGTGGCGCGGACAACAAAACTGTTATAGTCTTGCAGAAGTGTTCTCCGGAGCTGTCCTCTATACTTTCAAAACTAATTAACAAGTGCTTATCAGAGTCTTGTTTTCCAGCCTGCTGAAAAGCGGCATCTGTTATCCCTATTTTTAAAAATTCTGGAGAGCGATCTGATTTGCCTAACTACCGAACGATTAGTCTTCTTCCTATCATAAGCAAAGTTTTTGAATCTTTAATTAACAAATACTTAATCTCTCATCTTGAATATAATAACTTATATTCACTTTCTGATCATCAATATGGATTTCGATCTTCTTGTTCTACAGCTGATTTGCTAACAGTAATAACCGATAGGTTTTATCATGCATTAAATAAAGGTGGAGAGGTTAAGGCTATCGCACTTGACATTTCTAAACCTTTTGATAAAGTATGGCATGCTGGTCTTCTCCGTAAGCTTTCTTCTTATTGTGTATCTGGTAACATCTTTAAGATTATTGAATCCTTTCTTTCCAATCGTACTATAAATGTTGTCCTCTCTTTTTTCTTTGTCTCTTTCTCTTTTCTACAAATACTATAATGGACACTGCTCTAAAGAGCTAGCGTCTCTTGTGCCTTCTACTAAAATTCATTCTCGCGTTACTTGTCATTCAAGTCTCACCCTTTTTCTGTGACTGTTCCTAAGTGCTCCAAAAACTCTTATTCGTCTAGTTTTTTTCCTCGAACATCAGTTCTTTGGAATTCGCTTCCTTCATCTTGCTTTCCTGATTCATATAATTGCAATCTTTTAAGTCTTCTGTCAATTGTTATCTTGCTCTACAATCTTCATCTTTTCTCTTCCAGTAACTTCCAACTCTAATAGTGGTTGCTTGCAGCTTTGTTGCAGCAAAGATGTTAAATAAAATAAAAAATAAAATATACATATATATATTATTTTAATCCTCCTCCCCAAGGCTATGAACCCCACTACAGTCGAGGAGGCTACTTTAGTTGTGGTTACAACCCTCTCTCAACTCTATAACTCCAAAACACTATCCTTGAAGAACAAGGCCACTGTGCAGAAAAAGTCGAGCATGGTATAACCAGGGGCGTGGTGGGGATCGAACTTGGAACTTCTCGCTTTTGAGGCGAGCGCTTTACCACTAAACCACTACCACATATAAATATATATAAAAGTAACATAGCATGTATAGCTAAGCAGTACAACACCTTGCTGAAACAGGCAAATATATGACTTCCAGATAATATTCCAGATACTAAATACTAAAAATATTTATAAAGATCATTGGCTCATTGAAACCTATCATCTGTATTTTCTTGTGTAAATCCAAGACAGATGGTGGCAACTACACTTTGACAAATGTATAATTTGTCAAAGACAGCTCTTTTTACTAATTGATGAAATTTATGTTAAACCAAAGTAAACATATCAACTCCTTAAATGAATCGGAAATAGTAGTTTTGAGTTTAATGATTTGTTCTTTGTTTGGTGGAAAACAGATTTTGTATAAGGCATTACGAGTAACATGTTTAGATGTATTTTTAATACGATCAAACAATTGAAAAAAAAAAATTGTGGTGGTTCTGTTGTTGTTATTCTTTGCAACAATAACAAAGTAAATAAGAATTTTTATGGAACATTTAATTCCTGGTTAATACTTGGTAAAATATGATAATTTTTCTTCTGTATGACTCTTTGTTCATTTAAACTATTCTAGATTAAATAAAGTTTAACTCAATCAATTCTAAATTAAATTTATTTTTCTTTGTTCTTATTATTTATTCTAATTTAATTATTAAATAAAATCAATTCAAAACAATTGGCTCACGAAAAAATGGGATGTTTTATGAGATATATTTCAAAAACTTCAGATCTTAAAAAATGGTCAGATCAAATAAAATGGTCAGATCCTAAAAAATGGTCAGATCAAATAAAATGGTCAGATTTTAAAAAGTTTTTTCAATCAGAAAAAGATGCTATAAGATGTAAAGTTGTTTAACCTTAATGAAACTGCAATTTTTACAATCTAATTGACGTCAAAATATGTCAACTTGTTTAAGACTATTTTGTGAGACTGTAGTTGCTTTAAAAACACATTCACCCATAAAAAATGTTGACCACACCATAATTTTTTTAATCTGTCTTTAGTAAATATTTTAGAATTGATAATATTAAAGGACTTTACAAAGATATTTGTACTAGAGGTGAAAATAATGCTGTTTTCATACAACAGCCATAAACGATTATATTTTCTTTTAAATTTGGCTGATTTGATCGAAAAAATTTGCTCCTTAAAAACAAACTCAAAAAATAAAAAATTTTGCCTAAGTTATTTTTTATTCTATTTCTCATAAGTGTTGTGGAATGGTTGATTTACTAATTACAAGTCATAACTATGTTAGCACCAGACATTTTACTAGTGACCCTATTAAAAAAGCATTTGGAAAACTTTTTTATAAATGTTCAACAAATTTTGCAAAAAGTTATACCAAAAAAAAACAACACTTTGTTTGAACATTAATATCATTGATTTAAAGGTTTTATCAAGCCATTTGTGTGACAAATGTAATTATATAATGGAATTTCATTCATTTACAAAATCATGTAACAAAAATGATCAACTAACTACCATTTATGAAATTTATATATATATATATATATATATATTTATTTATTTATTATAGAGTATATAGATCTTTTTTTGCTTATTTTTATAGCATACAACTTTTAAAGAAAAAAAGAAGAAAAAAAATGAAAGAAAATATTATTGCCCCAGCCCAAACCCTTACTTGATGTAGCAGCACTAATTTGATAATTTTTTTTACCTAAAAAATAATTTTTTATCTGATAATTATTTACCTAAAAACTTTGTTTTTTCTGGTAATGGATTGATACCACCAAATAAGGAAACACCACCTATAGGTTTTTTAGCTTTTATTCCATCCTTAAACTCATCAGAAGCAGCTGGAGGTGGTTGAGCATTAGAAACATCCAATTTTTTATTAACAGAAAACAAATCATCTATATCATCTTCAAATATACTTTTGGAAGTCTAAATAAATAAAAACTACCATTTATAATTAACAATTAATTTAACAACTATATAATGTTTAAGTATCTATAAGTAGTACAATAATAATAAACAATTTATATACTATATAATGTATAACAATATATAACAAGTATATGTATATATGAATTTTCATCTTTTACTAATGCTTTAATTGTTTACTATTTTATTTATGTTTATTACAATAAGATGTAGTGAAACCTACATTATATAATAATAAATAATTCTGTAGACGCAAAGTTCAAAATCACCCAAGTGACTTTTTTACTACAACTTTTTTTTATCTCACTTATAGCCCTAATAGTTTGAAATCATAAAACTTTTTTTATCTCACTTATGGCCCTAATAGTTTGAAATCATGAAACTGAAATTGAATGTTTCTCTTGAATCACCATCATTGCTGCTATGATCACCATCAGATGACATTTCTATAAAACAACATGGAACATTGACCTGATTTTATATCTGGTTTTATACATTTAGAGTACATTTTTGTGTACTACCAGAGTACATTCTTGTGTACTATTAGAGTACATTCTTGTGCACTATCAGAGTACATTCTTGTGTACTATCTAGATATTAATATTTTCTCTGCATCTGTAAACATACAGAGACCATTATGATACACCATATGTAAGAAATTATATATATGCAAATACTTATCATAATTTAAAACATAATATCGTTATTAATTAAAAATTAAAAATCAAAATTAAAAAAAATGATTTGGAAAAATTGAAACAAAAAAATTTTTGACACTAATACTTCTTATGTTCTCTAAACTAAATGTTTTTTTACACATATTCACCTTCCTAAGCCCAAGGGTACCACTAAAGTCAAAGAAGATATTTTTTTAAATTTTGGTTACAACCCTTTCTCAACTATTTAACTCTAAAACACGCCTTAACAAAAACAAGGCCGATCTGCTGAGAAGCAATTTAAGCATGATACTACAAGAGATGTAGAGATTTAATTTTTACAATAATTTTAGGTCTCACATTGTTAATTTGGTTAAACTTTTGATAAGCATAATTTAACTTGGCTACCATAATATTATTGGGGTTTATTAAAAAACTTTTGTCATCCTTTGTTATTTTTAATGGCAACCCTGATGTTCCATCAAGTGTTGCCATTAAAAAACTTGCTTGATAAAACCTGCCTAAAAACCCAAAAAACCCATTAAAACCCAGGCAATCTGGGTTTTTTAAAGATTTTTTATAACTTTATAAACTATTATAACCAACATTTTTGAAAACATAAACATATTATAGTATTTAGCTATAAAGAAGAAGTTTAAATTTAAACACAATATTATTTTTAATAAAAATTTTTTTACAATGATATTTTTGGAATCCAAACAAATTCATTTAATAAGATTTTTTAGAATAAATAGACTTTGATAAGAATATTTTTGACATATTTTCTTATAAAACCAACTATTTTTGATACAATAAAAACTTTATTAAAATTTTTTTTTATTGAAAATAATTAAATACTTAATGTAAAACAACACCAAATATTTTGACTTCAAACACAGTTATCTTCTCTATAATAATTTTCAATAATTTTCTCTATTTTAATAGGTGTATCATGATTGGGACAACTAAAAGTAACTCTCAATTGACCTTGGTTGGCCATCAAAACAAAAATATTAAGACAACTTAATATTAGCGTCAGGACAACAACAATCACTAACCACCATGAAGTCAGATTGTTTTCATTAAAAATAGCACACAAGGAGATCTACAATGAACAGTAATGAAAATAAACAAATACGACGTGAAATTATTAGGAACCTCAACAAACATATTACAAATGGCCATCAGATAGTTTGGCTGGATAAAACAAATTTTAATATTTTTAGTGGAAAAACGCAAATCAAATCCATGCTGAAAAAGAGCAACAATGTTAAACTACAACAAAAGACAAAAAAAAATTGTTTCATATTAAGAATCAGCAACTCAAAAACCTTGAATTTTACTCAACTATGTTTGATGATATAGAAGTCAATGAGGGCGCCAAATTTTAAGCGCAAATTTCATAAGTGCCAATGGCATAAGTGCGAATTGGCGTGTGTGAACTGGTATAAGTGCGAACCAGTTATAATAACTGGCACAAGTGCAAACTGGCATAAGTACGAATTGGCATAAGTGCGCCGAACAAATTTGCAAACATTAGCATAATTGCGAAGTAGTTATAGCAAATGGCATAAGTGCAAACTGCCAAAAGTGTGAATTGGCATAAGTGCGAACTGGCATAAGTGCGAAATACCAATATGCACTTATGCTAATATTTGCAATTTTATTCGGCGCACTTATGCCAATTCACACTTATGCCAGTTTCTGTAACTTGGCATCTGCTTGGCATTTATGCTGGTTCGCACTTATGCCAATGTTTGCAAATTCTTTTGGCGCATTCATACTAATTTGCATATATGCCAGTTTGCACTTATGACATTTTTTGTATCTGCTTCGCACTTATGTCAGTTTGCTTTTATGCCAATGTTTGCAAAAATTTTTGGCACACTCATGCTAATTCGCACATATGCCAGTTTTTGCAACGCTTCACACTTATGCCAGTTCGCACTTATGCCAATTTGCGCTTATTCAGCCTCCCGTCATGATTATCTACAATTTCTACATAAACTGTGTAGTTTTTTATGTCTTTTTATACAGCCAATTTGGGAAGTTCAGTGGGTATCGTTTGGTAGCTGAGGTATATACCTTCTCATGCAACCATTCCTTAAAAGAAAAATTTAATAGTTGATCTTAAACTTTTATATATCTTATATAATTTAAGTTGATAAAACACAAATGCAGCAAATTATATTTGATTTAGATATGTTTCTTTGATTAAATCCTTTTTTTTTTCCATCTTATTTTCATTATCTGTTACAACAGCAAACACTTTCTTGTTGTTTCCTTAATGACATTACAAAGGAGTACAATACTTGGCTTTTTTTTCAATTTGATGCACAATCAATTATGCATAAAAGTTTAGACTACAATCTGTCATATGCACTGCAAACAATAATCGGATCTAGTAACACTACATTCATCTTGCATAATTGTTACTGCTTTCTCTTCTGGGTTGATCCATTATTTTGTTATTTACTTCATTGTAAACTTTTTCTAAGAGCTCTCCTTCAAATACTTTACATTTAGGAGGATTATATCCTTGTCTAAAGGAATTGATCATGTGATAAACTCTTACTCTTTGAAAAAATCCAGTTTCAATTTTAATTATTGTTTGTTTTGGTCCAATTATGTACCAGTAGTATGGTATGTAATTTCTATTTTTTGTTAAATATTTTTACTTATTTTGTATAGCACACATCTCCTATATTTTATATTATCCATATTACTTTTAAAATCAAAAAAATTGGTGCTTCATAAATTTTTAAGTGTAATTGGTTTCCTATTTACTTTATTATAGAACATGAATTCTTTATTATAGAACATGAATTACTAAAAATAGGATAAACTAGTTATTAGTGCTAAACCTCTTCGAAATGAATTTAAATGCATAATAGGTGCAACTCTTAGGAGAAATTTATTACCTACTAACTACATATATAACATTTATACAAATGACATTTTAACTTCATTAAAAAAATTAAAAAATCAAACATAAATTCAAAGCTGAAACTAAAACAGAATTAAATGGATATTGTTAAATAGCAACCCTCGGAATCAGGAAAAAGGAGATCAACAATAATTTGCCGATCTCAATCTTTTAGAGGTCGGCAATATTATGCCGACCACTAAAAGATTGAGATCTGTCTGACCATAAAACACAAAGGTCTGACTATAAAACACAGAAATGAGGTCGGAAATTTTTTGCTGACCTCAAACACTTTCAGGACCGCAGTTAGGTCAGCATTGCCGAATGCTGACCCTAATTCTGAGGGTTGAAATAGTATGTATAATGTTTTAGTAATTTTTTTTAATTTAATTTATTAATTTAATATAATGTATTTGTTTTAATTTAATTTATTAAATTACATAATTTGATTACTATTAAACACAAGTTTATTGTTTGCTCAAACTTGCTAAAATTTTTGCATAACTATCTCTCTAGGACAAGGAGGACATAACAGTCAAAAAGACATTTTTAAAAAAAATGTTTTTTGATCATTCAAGTCTTTAGTTCTAAAATACAAACTTTGACAAGTAAGTTGCATTATAATCACACCACACAATTGTAACATAATTATGCAGATTTGTTTGTCAGGATGAAACCATGTTTAGCAAAAAAAACCACCTAAAAAAAAAACCAAGATATATTTAGGTTATTTTTAAAATGTCTTATTTTACAAATGGTAAGTCTGATTTTAGCAACTTTAACAAATTAGATAATTTAGCAATTTTACAATATGTCTGATTAATAATCCTTCAGTATGAATATAAATATTATATAATATTATATATTGTAATATAAATATTATATATTACTTTAATATGAATATTATATAATTTAATTGCAACTTTTATTGTGTAAATAGTTAAATAATAGATATATATATAAATTGTATACAAAATGGTGAGTAATATATATAAATATATATATATATATATATATATATATATATATATATATATATATATATATATATATATATATATATATATAAAATATACTTTTTAGTTTGAACTTCTTACAAAGAAATCAAAAATCTGATTAATCATTTTTCGTAGCATAATTTGCATAATTTAAATCAGGTTGCAGACTGGGAAAATAATTAAATCTTTAATTAAAAATTAAAATGTCAGGGCAAATTAGATGAATTTTTATAACAAAAAAATAAAAAAAATCAAAGCACAATACATTATTAGTTATTTAATAATTTTTCCAGATAATCATAATTTCTTACTCATTTTTAGTCATCAATTAAGTTTCTCGTTTCTTAAATGCCTGAACATTTCTGAAATCAAATCTGAAGAATTTTTTTATATCTATCATTTTCTAACCTTTTTCTTAGCTTTTTGTATACGATTCCAAAAGTCAAAAACACTCTGAACCCAGAGTCTGCATAATGATTGCCTGCACAACAAATAATTTAAAAAATTTTGCAAACCGTAAAGATTCTTGTTTTGATACAATCTTAAACTGAATTTAAACCATATATTGTTTATATAATTTATAGTTTCACTAACTTTGAATAAATAAGTTGACATAATAACTGTAAATAATAATAAAATAATAATAATAATGATAAAGTGCAGTAGTGGCAGAGTGCTCCATTCATAGGCAAGAAGTTCAGAGTTCAATCCCCACTACATCCTGCGCTCAACTTGTTTCTCAGATAATCTTAATTCTAGACTTTCTATTAATAGCATTTGTGCTATTAATAGATAGTCTTCATTTAGAAGGATTATATACTAAAATACCCAACTGTAATGGGAAACCTGAAATATTGTGAAAGAAAACAAACCAAATTGACTTAATAAAAAAAGTTAAAGATTTTATCTCTTGTTCTAAAGTAAGAAACTTATAAAAAGCTATCAAGAAGGATTATTTTTTTAATTAAGAGGCTAATAACTCTGCTGTTTGCTAAGGAATTTCAAACCACATGTATTTAGTTTTATTTTGCCACTTGTAATAGCAAGAAAAATATAGCAGTCATTAATATGATTGGTTTTCTACAAAGCATGGGGAATCCAAAATATAAGGTCTTTTTCCTTAGGTTCAAATCTCGAAAACTTTTGTCACAAATATGTGACAGTTTTGTCTTGGCCACCAATCAAAATCAATCAATTAAAATCAAAATACCATTTATATGTTAGTTTTATAGAAATAGCAATGTTTTGTCTTTGTCTAATAAGTAAACCAGCCACTGATATAGAAGAAAGGGATTATGCTTGCTCTGGTAATGATTAATTATGATTATGTTTGCATTTATGTTGATTTGAAAAAGTCAACATGTTGTATAACTAATTTAAAAAAATGAATAACTTTTATTATTTATAACTACTGAATGAAAATATTTATGACAAACATAACATTTTAAAATGTATTTAAATGAGTTTTAAATACATTTTAAAATGTTATGTTTTCCACTCAACCCACCTACCCCCCACCATCTCATTGTAATCTTTTTAACTAATTCAAAGTATTAAAACAAATCACATAACAGTATGTGTGGGAATATTGCTTTAAAGTAATCAATGGATAATTTCAATAATTTCAATTAAATGAAATAGTTAAAAAAATTTAGAGCCTAACAAAAAAGCTTTAAAGTCTGCCTAATCTGAAAATAATCAATTTAAGAAAGAAATTCTTGTGAACTTTAACTAAAAGTTTTTAGTATTTTTTAAAATACATTTAAAAACTTTAAAGTTCGCAAATTTATACTTCTTAATAAATTTTGAATATAATATATATGATACAGTGCTAAATAAATTTTTAGTTAAATATTACCTTTCCAAATACATCAGGATTATCAACAGATTTTGTCGTAACAGGTTTAATGTCATTTTTAGAAACAGAAGAATTATTACGGGAAGCTGGCAAATCAGAATTTTTAGATGATACTAAATTGTCATTATTTTTAGATGATACCAAATTGTCATTATTTTCATTATTATTAATCTTGGTGGTTTCAGCTAATAAAAATACAAACATTTATTTAAAATATTATTAGCAAATATTAAAACACTTCAATCAAACATTTAGTTAAGTACTTTTATATATGGTTTATATACCAATTTTTTTTTGTTCTGATAATGGATTAATTCCACCAAATAAAGAAACACCACCAATGGGTTTTTTAGATTTTATGCCAGCCTTCCCATCTTCAGTGGTAGAAGTGGTAGGCAATGAATCATTAGAAGTATCTGAATTTTTAATAATAGAAAACAAATCATCTTGAACGTCATCGTCAAACAAACTATCAACTTTGCGAGTTTTTGCAGATGGTAGTGTTTTAATAGTTTCATTTTTAATAACTGATGGATTTTCAATTCCTGTAACTTCTTTTGACTTGGCAGGAATTTTAGTTTTGTTGGAAAAAAGATCATCATCACTGTTATCAGAACCAAACGAAAACTTCTTGTTTGCTGATACTTGTGTTTGCTAAAAAGAATAGATATAAATAACTTAGATATAGAGTCGAAATTAAAACAAAATAAATCAAAAATGTACATTTTGTTGAATTAAATATTTGAGAAAAAATGTTTCCATATCTTTAGTATTCAAGTTATTTTATATTTAAATAGTGTTAGTTGTCTAATGATTAAAAATATTAGCAATAAAATTAATTTTCTAGGCCAAACTGTCTAAGTTGACTACAATAGACATACCACATACAAGAGCATATAATCACACATACAATAGCATATAATCACACATACAATAGCAGTGGTGTACCCTCTAGTTTTTCCCCGGTGGCCCTGCGGGCAACTGAAACAGTTTTAATTTCTTATTTGAGTTGTCTGCTATGATAATCAGTAGTCTGGAGTGAAAGTTTTTTTTTTGCATTTTTTCTCGGGCAAAAATACTGAAGAAAAAAAAGTTAAATGTCTGACTGTTAAAATAAGTCTAATAAGAAATGCTTTATTTAAAAGTAAATTAATTAATTTATTAATTAAATTAATTTAAGACATTTTTGTCGTAGTCAATATATTTTTTTTCGTTTTGTTTCTTTTTGTCAATCTTAACAAAGGTTTCACTACGTGAAGCAAAAAAGTTGAAAGCCAAAACTGCAAAGAAATATTTTATATATAGAAAAATATTCTATTATTCTCTCTCAATCTTCAATCAAATTTAATTTAGTTGAATGTTTAAAACATTATATTTTTAATATTTTAAACATGTTTCACTATACTAAGTTGCTCAAATAATGATTTTTCATGCCCATCTTAATAATGTTTTTTATTTTGTTTGACAAAGTTGAAATAAAATTTATTTTACTAACAAAAAACAAAAGAGATTCAATGTTATTAATGATTAAACTGCCCATTCGCGTGATTCAAAAAGCAACTATAAGGTTTGAAAAATGCTACAATACTATTTGGAAATGAAAGAAAATGTAATTTTAAAACTCATTTTAAATTGAGAAGAAACATGCTTCAAAATGCAACAACAATGTTTAAAAAAAACAAAGTTGCATTTCAAAATATTAAATTGCGTGTCTTCTTTTTATTAAGTTTGGTGAAATAATACACTATAGTGTACTCATTGTTAAACTACTTTGAAATGCTTTTTAAAGTTTTCTTTTAAATAATCACAAGGAACAAAAATCTTCATAGATCAAAATATGGTTTTATTATTAAACAAACTTTTGTAAGTAATAAAAGGTGGTCCTGCCAGGCTACTAACATGATTTTTTTTTAATTTCAGTCGCCCTTGGAGAAAATGAGTCATCCCATGCCACCAGACGACCATGAGGGAACACCCCTGCAATAGCATTACTTATTTTTTTTATTTATATAACTGGTTGTACCAAAATTGTGTGCATTACTTTTTAATATACATGTTTTTAATTTAAGAAACCTTTTTAGCGTTGCAACAAGACTATCATATATTGTTTTTCTATCTAATATTAATATCTTCATGCAACATATACTTTATGTACAAAATGTTTCATTTTTAAAAGGTGATATAGATATCATTTGAACCAATTTTTCAAACCTTTTAAATTATTACAGAAATATTTACATTACTTTGTAAAATATCAAAATGTCCAAATTTATCAATTGTGATTTGATAAAAGATGAATTAACTACAACCACTAAAGTTTTTTTCTTGCAATTGTAGATCACCTCTAATACATTTTGTCTCTAAGAAGATTGACCTTTTAATGAACATCATATAATGCTAAAAGAGGTCCATAACACAGCTGATGATGTATACCACTTAGCCGTTCAAATGATTGTCAGCAATACAAGCTACCATGCGTTGTTTAATTTTTTTCTTAAAAATGTTTAGCGATACAGAAAAATCATAATCTGTAAAATATTTCTGTAAATATTTTATAAAAATTTTTATAAAATATTTACAGATTTTATAAATAAAATCTGTAAATATTTTATAAAAATTCATTTTGTTATGACATTTGTGGAGAAGCCATTATTGCTAGCTTTGACACAATTTCCCTAAAAGTCTGCTGTTTAAAAAACATTGTAATTTTGTTTTGCACATTTCTAATTTTCAAATAAATGAATGTCATCCATTTTGAAGATCAAAAATTTATTTTTGATCTTCAAAATAGTATATAACAAAGAGATTTAAAATATGTTTAGGTAAATTTTTTAAAATATATTTAAGTAAATAATTGATGCAAAACACTTAAAAACAAACATTTTTATCTTCTTTTTTATTAACTTTTATTTAAAATTAGTTTCTTAGTTTAATAAACAAGAAATAAAATAATAAAAATAAATAAATAAATAAAAAAGTAGAGCTGCTATAACAAGTGTAATAATGTAAGCAGCTGTTAATAAGGTTTTAGAGAAAAACAATAAACTGTTATTGAATAGAAAACAACTTTAAAAAGATTTGTAAAAATTTCTTTTGTGAAAAGAAAAACTTTAATGCTCAATTACAACTACAAGTTTTTATAACTTTTTTTTATAAAATTTTATAACAGAAGATGATAAAATTATTGAGTTATCTACTTGTTGTCAACTTGAGTTATCAAAGCTGTCTTAAGTTATCTACTCCTTTTTATCTTGAGTTACATCAAAAATGTACTACTGCTACTTTTTGATAGCATTGAGCCATTCAATCATGAAATCTTTAAGGATTATTACTATCATCAGTTACAGATCACGCCACTTCAAATATAATTACCCTCACTTGCGTCAACAACCTGAAACCTAAAAAGATTGTAGCGCATGTTGAAATTAGTACTTTAAACAAAGTGTCTGCAGGGATTAGTTCAATAATCTTCTATAAACCTAAACCTTTGAAAACTTACCCAAAAGTATTTGAAAGAAAAAGTAAAATTAAAAGTGAGCAACTAAATAAAAAGATCTTTGACTGATAGTACTCCACATATTTCATACTCCAGTCAGAAATGAAATTCTTTTTCCTAAAAAAAAGAACATCTTGAATCAAACTAATCATGAGAAATTCATCACAAAAGATAATTAAAAAAGTGAGAAACTATAAAACATTTGGTTAGGAATAAAAATACTGTAAAACAGCTTCACAACTCTTTAGCATTAATGAAGTAGAATTTTACCTTTAGTCTTAACATTTTGCAGTAAATTTAAAATATCGGTTTATCTTTATAAACTTCAAAATCTGGTAAAGCTTTGAACATATATGAAATGGAATTTCACATAGAATTTGTCATATTAAAAAATTTAATTTGGTTATTTTTTTAACTGTAATTTTCACCAGTGTGGTTTTACTGTTATATTTTAACAAAGTTTTATATTTTGTACAATAAAATATAAAATACTATTAAACTCCAACTAAGTCATCCACAGCATCTAGATATAGCAGTATTAAACATGTAAATAATGTCAGCCATAACATAATAAAGCATTCAATGTAAGGGGTAAATAAATTTTAACACCAGAGTTTATTATGGATACTCAAAATAAATAAATATAAAATATAAATTTTATAAAAGTGATAAAAATATCAGTATAACAAAAATAACAAAACAATAAATAATAAAATGATAAAAATAACAAAATAAAAAAAAAAAATTATATTGTATTCAATATAAAATATTCTATTGTATTCAACTTGGACAATTTAAACTTTTTATTGGTAATATTTTTAATCATTAGACAACTAAAACTTTGTAAGCTGTTATAAATATAAAATAACTTAAATATTACAGATATTATAACATTTTTCTAAACTTCATTCTTATTTTTCACTAGTTTTTATTAATTAATTAAATACTTTTTAAAAAATAGATTTTAGGAAATATAAATCATTAGGACATTTTTAGTGTAAAACAAAAAGCTTATTAAGGATTTAAAAATTAAAATTAAAATTAATTATTAATGAGGTTTTGATTTTCATTATTAAATAAACCTCAAGGAACCTTCATGTCAAAAAGGTTTGTAATTAAAAGCACACTATAAAACTTTCTTTAAAAACATTTAAAAAAAATATTTTCCAAGACTAAAAATGTACATTTTATGTACATTTTTTACATATTTACATATTACATCTTTACACATTTTTTTACATATTACAGTTTACACATTTACATATTACATCTTATGTACATTTTATATTATGAACAAATGTTCAGCAAACTGTTTTAGTTGAAATGTTCTGCAAAAGATTCCAAATGAATTTAAACAAGCTTTTTTGGTAAACAAACATTGTATTTATAAAAAAAAAAAAACCTAAAATAATAAAAATGCTATTTATATTGTTAGGGTTTTTATTAGCAATAACAATAATAATAATAATAATAATAATAATAATAATAATAATAATAATAATAATAATAATAATAGCAATAATAATAATAATAATAATGACAATAAATATATAATAATTATGTATTACAATTTTATATTTGACTTTTTGTTTAAAACTTAAAAGTTAAAATTTTTTTTTTTTTAAACTTTAAGTTTTTAATTATTTTTATTAAATGAAACTTATTTTTAACAAAAAAAAAAAAAAAAAAGAAAAAAAAAACATAAATTAACTAAAAAATTAACAATAAAAATTACAGGACTTTATCCTCTATTTAGAATTAATGAATAAAAAATGAAATAACAAGATATATAACAAAATTAGAACTATAAAAAAGATTATAAAACAAGATACCTTTTTAAAAGATGGTTGATTCAGGGGTTTTATCATCGATTGATCATTAGAATCTTCAACAGCAGCTTTATTACTGACTGATTTTTCAAGTGGTTTGGAAGAAGTTGTTTTCTGACTAAAAACAGTTTTCAAAATTTCTTGCTTACTTTTACAAAAAATGTAAAAAAATATATATATATATATAATATTCAAATGCTATAACAAATAAATAAAATAAAAAAAACCTTTCAGTTTTTGCCAAGGAAGCAAATATGTCATTACTATCATCTTCAAGATCATCATCAAAGAGACTAAATGGTTTTTTATTTATGGATGATGAAGTTTGTAAATTTGAAGATAATGAAGTCTGTAATTTTGAAGCTGATGAAGTCTGTAATTTTTCTGGAATAAAAATTTTAAAGCAATAACATGATATAAAAAACTTTAAAATAAACTAAAAAATACATTCAGAAATTCAAAAAAAATAAATACATAAAAAAATAAAACACCTTTATTTACTTCTGAAGGTTTAGAAACATCTGTTTTTGGCTCAGTGACCTTTAAAAAAAAGTTTACTTGCAATTAAAATTATTTGGAAACTGGGAACTAGTATTTAAATAAATATTTTTGATTATTTTGATGATTTCAACTTCTTTTAAAGTTGTGACAATTATAAAAATTTAACATAATTTAAAACAATTTTGGCATATTTATCTATATTAGTTATATTATCTTTATATTATTTGCCCATATAGAAACAAAAATTGTCATAAATCTACTCATGCAGAGTTTTTAAAGTATCATTCAGAAAGTTTAAACACAAATGTCATTATAAAACACACAGTGTGTTTAAAAATCTGTTGCAAATTCATACTTTTTTAAAAAGCTACTAAATAATTTTTAAGAGTAAAATAAAGAAATTAAAAAAAAAAAAAAAGAAAGATCAAGTTAATGTAAAAAAAAAAAAGAAAAAAATAGCAAATGATATCTGCTTGGTGTAATGGCTACTAAAGAGCAGGTAGAAAAATTATTTTTTAAAAAAAAATTTTGATGTCTGATTTAAAACTATAAATAAAATTTTCTTAAATTGTTTAACAATTATAAACATTTTTTAGATGGTGAAACAAGCCATGTATAGCAGCAAAAAATTTCTCCAAATCACTCTGATTTTATTGATCAATGTCAAGTATTCATTTTCAATGACTTTATATGGAGAAAGAAAGAAAGATGATTGGATGCTAAGAAAAGGAGGATTGGATGCTACAAAAAGCATTTTAGTAGCAAGAGATATGGAACCAAAAACATTAAAATACAATAAAACTGAATTTGAAACATTTTTGAAAAACTTTACAGAAAATGAAAATCTTATAGCAAATGAAATTTCAAAATTTAGCGAAAATAATATGTTGATAAACTTTAAAGAGCTCAGAGACAAAAAATGGAAAATTCAAAAACGATGTTTTTGCTACGGAAACAGTTTAATGCATCATATTTGTGAAGCACATAATAAAATGCATGATTTTGGTCATCACGCTCACGATGTTATGGATCACTTTGGAGATAGAGCTCATGAGACTATGCATGAATTTGGACATCATGCTCATGAGTTAAAAGATAATTTTGGTCATGATGCTCATGAGAGATTAAGAGAATTCGGACATGAAGCGCATAATACAAAAGATCATTTTGGTCATCATGCTCATGAGTTGAAAGAAAACTTTGGTCACGATGCACATGAAAAATTAAGAGAGTTTGGACATGATGCACACAATACAAAAGATCATTTTGGGTGCGATCAACATGAAATGCTTAATATGTGGCATCAATGTGGGTGTGTAAAAAAGAGCAAAATATCAAAAACTTTAAAACACTTTATGGTACCAAAAAAATCATTCATTAATAATTTTTGCAGAGATGGTAGATGTAATAATAACTATGATAAAACTATAAATTATGACAAAATTCCTTTTGAAGCTTACAACAGAGACAACTACTTTAATCCAAATCAAGATGAAAATTTAAATGAGCAACAAAATTCAGATAATATTTTTGATGATCGTAGATTAGAAAATGCAGCTTTTGGTCACGATTCAACTGATAAACCTGGAGAAATCTCTAGAGAGCATCAAGATAACTTTGAAGAAAATAAACATGGTAACTTTGATCAATATGAGAGAGAAAACTATAATCGCCATAGAAATGAGAGAAAAGATGACTTTGAACATCCACAACAATATGATGAACGAAAAAAGCAATATGAAGATGATGAGATTGATCATTATAATGATCTTTCCGAGAACAAAAATAAAGATTATATTGGAAATGAAGATCATAGAAGTAGTTTTGCAAATGATGATTCAGACCATGTTGAAAAAGATCCATATGCAACCATTGGTAATAATGAAAATGAAGAAAATCCACTCAAATCAGAAGATAGTGAAAACGAAAAAGAGCAAGATAATTCATTTGGCGAAAATCAGCATAAAAATAAAGCTAACTTTGGAGAAAATTCTCACAATAGACGCAAACATTTTGGAGAAAGAGAACACGGGAACAAACAAAGATTTGGGGAAAGTCAACATGCAAATAAAGAACGTTTTGGTGAAGAAGAACATTACAATCGAGAACATTTTGGCGAAGAAGAACATAATAGTCGAGCACACTTTGGCAAAAAAGAACATAAAAAAAAGGAACGATTCGGAGAAAGTGAAAATGAATTTAAAAACCATTTCGGTGAAAAGGCCCATGAAAAGCAAAACAATTTTGGTGAACAGGAACACAAGTATAAAGAGGAGTTTGGTAAAACAGCCCATGAAAATCAAGCTCATTTTGGTAGAGAAGCGCATTCTTCTAAAGAACATTTCGGAGAAGAAGAACATGAAAACAAAGAAAATTTTGGACGAGAAGCTCACATGAGTAGGGAACACTTTGGAGAAAATCAACACGAAAAAATGAAACACTTTGGAGATAAAGCACATAAGAACTTAGAAAACTTTTATATCAAAAGTAAAGAACAGCATAAAAACAAAGAACATTTCGGAGAAAAAGAACATGATAACAAAAAACATTTTGGAGAAGAAGCTCATAAAACAATGGGAATGTTTGGAAAATCTGCACATGAAAAAATGAAAAACTTTGGATTACAAGCTCACAAAAATCTAGAAATGTTTGGTGTAAAAGATTTTCAAAGTTTTCTCAATACAAGAAATATAGTTGTAAAATCAATAAACAAAAATAAAAACAGAAAAAAAAAAAATTGTGTGAGATCAAAATTTAATACTCGCACATACCATGATGAACCATGCTATGATGATGGTGATGATGATGAAGAGGATAATGATAATGATGATGATGAGAATGAGGAATATGAAAATAGAAATGATGAACATAAAAGTTCAAGTTTAAAAGACCATGAATATAATGCAAAAGAAAGAATGGAACATTTTGGTGAACACGCTCATGAGCATAAAGATGAATTCGGCATAGAGCAACATAAAACACTTGCTAACTTTGAACATATATCAAGAGACCACCGAGAAGAGGAAGCAAAAAAACAACGAGAGCATTTTGGGGAACAGCAGCATGAAAAAAAAAAACATTTTGGTGAGGGTGATCCTGAGTATCATAGTAGATGTGCTCACGATAAATTAAGAAATTTTGGTAAATTTGCACATCACTATGGATGTGGAATTAATTTTGCTCAATACAGAAGTAAAATAGAAAATGCTGTAAAACAAAAAACAAATCAACAAAAACCTTATTACAGAAAATACAAGCCAAAGTTATGGCCTGAATATCCGCAAGTGTTTAAAAATGAAAAATCTCAAACTTCAAAAAACAAAACAAACAGCAATAAAAAAATATCTATTGGTATAAAAATTAATAAACCAAACACATCAGAAAATAATTTTATTAGTCTCCTAAAACAAAATAATTGTGATTTTTGTGAAAATGGGGCACTTTGTGTAACTGAACCTGATCCAATTAAGTTCACCTGTTATTGCCCATATAACTATGAAGGAAATCGATGTGAGATTTACTCACCACAAAAAAAAGCATGCAGTCAAAATACCTGCTATAATGGAGGAAGATGTGAAGAACGACCAAACAAAAAAGAAAAATTTCATTGTTATTGCTTAAGTGGATGGCATGGTCAACAGTGCACTGAAAAAGACATAATGGATTGGTCAAAGTGGTAATATTTGTCTAAAACATACTTCAGAAAAAAATCTAAAAAAACTAATAACAAGTAAAAACAAATAACAAATACAATAACAATGTAATATAGTACAATACTCAGGTAAAACATATTAGGCTCTTTTAGCAATTTTTAGCAATCATATAGAAATTATTTAGAGAATACTTTTGTACATAAATTTTTTTAAATTAAAAATATAAATTTACATTTTTTGAAGTTTGCTTCTTTTCTCCAAATAAGTCGTCAGCATCATCATCTTCAAAAAATTCAAGAGTCTTTTTTCGAGGGATAGTCTCTGGAAATAAATAAATCTTTTTACTCTTTTGTTTTTTCTTAATGTTAAGTGTTTTTCTTAATGTTGTATGAATATTTTTGTTAAATATTAAATAGCCAATTTTCAAGTGTTTAAATACGAAAAAACTTTTCAATAGAGATAAACTATTATCATGCAAGATAAACAAATAAACAAGGCAATTAAGTAAGGACCAAAGCAATATTAGGTAAAAATTAAAGCAAGAAACAGTAAGAACTAAAAAGTAAAAAGATCAAAGTGTACAATAATGTATCAAAAATACATGTTACATGATATTATAACTGTTATCTCAAAAGCAGGGATTTCTTGATACTAGAGAGTGAGTTGGAGCATGGTAAAACTTGCAAATGTACTAAAGTTAAATACTTCTAAGAAAAATTAAGATTAAGAAAACAAAAGTTGAAAATAAATAGTTGAAGATAAAACAATTTAAAACAAATTAAAAACATTTTATTTAAAAAAAAACACACACAATATTTATATGTTTTCATAAAGGTGAGACACAATTAAGGTTAAAGATTTTCTTATTTTAATCTTTAAATAACTTTTATTTTTGTTAAGAACTAAATCTATTTTAACAGGGTAAAACCCAACATATAAGCATTCTTTCTACATAAAGGTAAGTTTCCACTCATCCATTTTTCTATGGGGACAGGATCTTATTTACTTAACAATACTATATTGTTATTGTTATATATTAATTGTTATCTACAAGGACAGGATTTTTCTACATAGAAAAACTTTTTGCTATATCAAAAGTTACTCAATAGATGTGAAACCTAGTTGTGCAGGTAGCTGCCAAAAAGCACCTAAAAATTTAATTTGGCTTGACACCACATCCATGAGGTGTTGGCTGAAGGCAATATTTAGCCTTAAAACTAGCCCAAACCTTTTACAGTTTCACAAATTCAAACATCATTGGCCTAAAACTGATAAGAAAGATGTGGTTTCAATCACACTCAATAAATTTAAAATTACATTTTAATTTTTCTCATTTAGAATCAGTTTGAATTTAAAAAACTTAAAAGTTTTGACAGTTTAGAGTTTATCTGATAATATAAAATATTGGACTACCTGCTCAAACTCTATACTACCTGCTCAAACTCTATACTACCTGCTCAAACTCTAATGATGATCCATTCAATGTCCTCAACTTAATTCAGAACTTAACTAAGTATAGTTCCATTCTAAGGTCATATCAACTACAGCGCTAAAAACAATTGGCCTTTATTTGAGTTACTTTGGACATATATGTGTTACTCATAGGACAGGAAGAACTAAATATCAGTGAATAATTGTGCAGAGTGAGCCATTGCCTTTGCTACAACCTTCAACTCTGCTCTCACAAAAAACAATAAGCAGAAAGTTTTAAACTATCAAAGCCATTTTAAGCTATATTCAAATCCATTGAAGCATATATACATCTGAATATAGATTCTAAACACAGATGTGATTAGAAACTAAATGCAGCTCTAGAGTGAAAACACTAAAAACTAAATACAGCTCTAAAGTGAAAAGACTAGAAGCTAAATACAGCTCTATACTGAAAAGAAAGCTTTAGAAACTAAACTCGATGATTTGAAAACTGTATAGACAATAACAGTTACTGTCTTTATATGCTGTTTGATGAATACATTAATAACAACATTAACAAACTAACCTAAAGTTTTTTTAACAATAACTTTGGTCAAACTGCCTTAAAACTTTTTGTGGCTTATAACTATAGCTTATGTCGAACAGGAAAAACCATAAGAACTATAATTTTATAATAGCCAATTTTTATAAATCACTTTGGTGTTGCCATTCATCAACATAAGAATATTAATATTATTATAATAATGATTTTTATAATAAGTATTGTGTCTACCATGAAAAATTGCAATTGAGGAAGCACCTTAAGAGTTGTAACAACCACTTGGACTGTTGGATGCACATATTTGGGTTATAAATGTGAATTGGACCATTGGATCCATCGGATATTGGATGAGATTGGATGCATAATTTGGATTATAATTATCAATTTGTTTGTTTTTCTAACTTAAATCTGCCTTTTCTCCAAGTTTTATACTTTTATTGACTTTTTATATGAAGCTTATAGGTTGTACCAAACAAGGTACCCCATGGGTAGGATACCTTTATACAAATTTCTTATTTTAATACTTAATACAAATTTCTATAAATTGTCTCAGAAGTTTAACCTGTAATATTTTGGTAATTCATGAATTTAATTTTATAGGTAAAAGTTTAATCATCTATAGCATAAAATAAAAAAATAAAAACTTGTTAATAATCTTGTGATTTTTTTTCATATTGGTAAATATAATGTTCAAAAAACGTTATTTTCTATAGTTAGACTAAAAAATCAAAAATAGTTTAAAACTTTTTCGATTTATATTTTTTTCTTAGTAAATAATTTTTTTTTTAATAGAAAACTAGACATTATTAACTTTAAAATCTCAGTTTTTTTGGTCCATGGATGGACCTTCAAAAAATACAAATATTTGCATCAAAGGACAAGATCAAGCCCAAATGAAATAAAAAAAAGAATTACAAAAGAAAGAATGAGAGTGATATATGAGGATAATAAAATTACTAAAGATTTGTTAAACAGTTCCTCAAAACAAAATAAAAGCACCACAATCAGGGCCAAAATACATTTACCATGTTTCAGAGAGCCTGATAAAAGTGGCAAGCATCACTTGTCAGGGATGCGCCCTTGCTTTATATCGCCTGTAGCCTAGATTGTAATAATAATTCATAATATTCACTATTGCAATGAAACAAACCTCAATAAAGAGAAGACAAAAAAATTTGTGCAAAATTTTCTGGAAAATTCAAGGGATAAAGGAAAATGAAAAAAAGTGAAACAAAAAATAAAATAAAAAATAATAAAGTTGCTTTACCTAAGCTAAACAAGCATAACCCTGGCTACAACTGAGTGTGAATATATAATATATACTAACAACTAATATTTAACTGTTTACGGTACAAAACGGTTCTTAAATGCTCTTTGTGTTTAATGTATACTTAATTAAGCATACTTAATGTAAAAACCATTAAAATAATTAAGGAAACTAATTAAATTACCTGTGTATTGTTCATTGGGAATTGTAGAGTATAGTTCATATTGTTATATGTTTTAGTGCATTGTTTACATTGGTATATATATATATATATATATATATATATATATATATATATATATATATATATATATATATATATATATATATATATATATATATATATATATATATATATATATATATATATATATATATATATATATATATTGTTGTTTTTTTGTTGAATGATGGTTAGATATTTTTAAAAATATATATATTTTTGAAGTTGTACTGTAATATGTGTATGTATACCAATTTATTTTGCATGCATGTATTTCTGTGCATATATGTATGTACGTATGCATGTGTGTAAGTATGTGTATATATCTGTATATTTATGTTTGTGTATGCCTACACAAACTTAAATATGTAGATTTATGTATAAATATGTATATTCATGATATATACATTAAATTTTCTACTTTTTTTAAAATTTATTTGTTTTTCTTTATTTTATCTTTGATTTTTTTTATTTGTTTGATAGTATTACTTCTATTTTGATAGTATTACTTCTTTTAAATTTAAATATTTATCGTAGCCACAAGTATTATAATTTTTAACTTTACTATTATTATTCCTATTTCATTCACTTTAAACAAGTGTTTTTTGTCATTGTTAGTTGTTACGTTTTATCAGTTGACTGCCTGTAACTAACTTTGCATATCTAGCTATTGAGTATACAAAATAAGTGACTAATTTTTATTATTATTATTATTATTATTATTATTATTATTATTATTATTATTATTATTATTATTATTATTACTATTAATATTACTATTATTATTATTATTATTATTACTATTATTATTGTTATTATTATTATTATTATTGTTTTTTTTTTTATTATTATTGTGGCTCTTATGTTTATAATTATAAATATTATCTTTATTATTATCATTACTATTTTTATAACTATTAATAACTATGTAACTATATATATATAAAATCCTGCATTTTTTGTGTTTACTTAAGATTAGCAAAATTACAATTTTTAAATATCCATGAGAATATTTCTTTTAATTTAATATTTTTGCATAATAGTTATAATTGAAAACCATTAGTAAATATGAATAAAAATTTTAAGCTCACAAAACAAATAAAAAATTATTGCTAATTTTAAAAGCAAAGAAATCAGCTAGAACAAGAAATATAACTAATAAAATAATAAATAAAATAATAACTAATAAACTATAAACTAGGTTAATATAAATAGTCATAATTTAGCTAGGTAAACAAAAAATATTTGAAATGAAAACCTACTTTGAGATGGTTTGTTTACTTCTTCCTCATCATCAAATAAACCTTTAACAACTGGAGGAGTTTTGACAACTGCTGGGCTAGAGAAACTTTCCTAAAATTTGAATTAAAATAACCAAAAGTCATTTTGATCAAAGTTTTTAATTGGTTAAACTAATACTCAGTAAATTTATCAATTAAAAAAGATAACAATAAACAATGTGTATATAAGTAACTTAAGAATAAGATAATTTTTTTCTTGTAAAATCATTTTACAAAAATATTTAATTTATTAAAAACAAATACAGTATGATCCTAAACTTCTGTTTAATAAAGTTTTCATTTTAAAATGTTTTGTTCTCATATTTTATGGGCCTTCTATAATTAAATAACTAATAAAAAGTTTTTAAACAATTCACAAAAAGTACTAAATATCAAAAAATCGCTATTATTATTTGTACTGTCAAGAAAACGTCAACTATTGTAATTTTGCACAACTTTTCTTTACATACTAAATATATTTATTTAGATTATGTCATACTTTTCATTTTTATTATAAATTATCTGACAATTAATTTAAATTTCGAAAAAAAAAGAACAAAGATTTTTCAAATAAAAGCTCTATAGGCTTTGAATATAACAAATACATATTTATAATAAAGATTAAAACAACATTACAAAACAAAAAAAATAATTATAATAAAGATGATATAACAAAGAGCAATTATGATAATATAATAAAGAATACAACTTTAAATAATTTCTATTAACATTAAGAATTATAATAAAAAAAGTTTACTTTTTTTGTATGAAAACCAGGTATAGAATCTAAAAATAAAATATTAAAAAAAAAAACTCAAAAAAGAATGCAAGCAAAAAAAGCACAAAATGAAAAAAAAAAAATCTATTTTTTATTTTGCACTTCATTTTAAACTTTTTTTCAAATCCTTATAAAAAAAACAACCTAATAGTAATATCTTACTATTAGTTAAAATTAATTTTTTTTTTGTTTACATTAATTATAAAAAATTATATTAAATTATATCAAACTATATTTCTACCTAAAGTATATTATACTTTGCTAACAGTCAATTTTATATTAATTACATTTTGAAAAAGGTAAATTTTTTTCAACTTCAAGGCATTTAAAAGCAAAACATAAACAAAAGTGTCAGCCCAGCAACCTTAGCAACCTTACACTTTGGGCCCAGGAAGTTTATTGGACTAGTAGTAGTTTTTGTGTGTTTTTATCTGGAAAAGCATCTTTTGTCAGTGTATTGACTGTTGTTTTAATATTCTTATTTATTTAAGAAATGTTTTATATAAAACATTGATAAAATATATTGATTTTGATTTCTCAATTAAAAAGTACATTTTTGTATTAATACCAGCTATTGATATAGAACTAACCTTGTAAAGAATTTGCAGGTTTACTCTTTTGTTTTGCAGATGTCTCTCCAAACAAATCCTCCTTTAAAAAAAGAATAATTTATGAACCTTTAATAGCACAAAAGTGTTTTAAAAACTTTTTTAAAACTTTTTAATCAAAATCAAAAAAAAAAAAGTGTTTTGGTGTAAAAAAAAAAGTTACATTTATGTAAACAACAATTTTCACTCTTCGATAACAGTCTGCAGTAATGGTGTAGTGTTTACAGGTTTACAGTTCAGAATTTGACCTGTAAACTGTATCAGATTTTATTCTATTTTGAATTACTTCAAAAATTCTATTTTTTTTTTCTTTTTTTTTTCAAGAAATTTTAGAAACTTCTTAAATTTACAAAATCATATAAATTATAAATAGATGATTTTTTAGAAAAAATTTTTTAAAGACTGCACGCTTTTCTACGAATTTTTAATGTTAGTTACTTACACTTATTATCGTGAGAGTTGAGGATGTTTTATTAATTTGTTTTTTTTTAGATTCTAGAAACATAAAAAGTAAAACATTTTTGGGCCACCGACTCCAAATAAGGGCAAGATATCATTCAAAAATATTTATGTAAAATCATAAAGTAAATAAAATTTAATTGTTAGAATTCAAAATTTTGAAAGAAATCTATTAGATTTGAAAAGTTGAACCATATTAATATGAAACCTTGTTCTTTTAATAATTTTCTTAAAACATTACTATCATATGTACAGGTAATTCCATGTCAAATCAGCAGGCTCGTGTCATCCTATGTTTTAGATTTTGCTAATTTTTTGATATGTTGTAGGGTTTTTGAAAATTAGGAAAATCTGAAATTTAGAACCTCCAACTCCTTACAGTTCTTGAGATACTCAGTATTCAATTCTTATTTATGCTGACTCAGCATTTTTTGCAAAATACTTTTTTGTTGTTAAATAGCAATATTTTATGAATCAAATGAGGTATCATCCAAAAAATTTGTACATAGACAATCTTTCACACAAGGCGAATACAAATGTTAAGTTGAAAATTTTTTGAGGCATTCTTGTAACTTTCAATATAGGTATCAAACATCACTATTAATAAAAAAATATATTACTGCATTTTTCAAGTTTTCTATAAATATTTTGCTAAATCAGCAAAATATTTATTGCTAACTTATTTATGACAAAATTAGCTATCTTAATTTTATGTTGTAAAATAATATTATTAAAGTCTTTTTGAGGGCAATAATAAATTTATACTTTATTTAGATTTATTTTGTGCTTAGGGTAGGCTCAAAGTGTGGGGAGAGGGGGGGGAGGGTTGCAATTAGGCTTTCCCTAATATATATTTTTAATATAAATACATTATTTAGTTTATGGTAAATAATTTACCATAAACTAAATAATGTTAATGGTATAAATAAATAAATATTTATAGAAATATTTATTTATACCATTAACATTATTTAGTTTATGGTAAATTATTTACCATAAACTAATTAATGTATTTATATTAATAAATAATGTATACATAAAATATTTCAAAACTAGATTTTTTGAATAAAATTAAAAGTTGGAAAAAATATTTAAAGTGTTCTATTGGATTAGAATGTAATGCTGACTGTCACAAGCAACGTTTAACAAGAAGACGAGGTCTTTTAGACCAATCAACATTTTCAAATGATGAAAAACACAAGTTGTTATAGAGAGCTGGTTTATTTGATTTGTGGAAAATTGTTTACGACAGTTTGCTATTATTAGAGAGAATACTTTAGAGTTGCATTTGATAGAAAGTTTCAGAAATGCTGTAATCTATTTACAATACATCGAAAGAAAAACGTAAAAAGGCAATTTTGATATTATTTTCATAATTTTTATAGGAAATGTGAAGATATCACTATCAATAGCAACAACTCTTAAAACACAAGATATTCCTGTTGTACCGGGGTAGAAATTATGCAGCAGTTGTTACAAAAAGGTACAGAGTATAAATAAAAAATTAGAATCAAATGATCAATGCTATAGCAGGGTTGAGTCTGAGCATGAACAATGTGCATCTCTTAATGAAAGTCTTGAATATATAGGTGTGTCACTTATTAAGCTTAAATCAGTGCCAAAACACTAACGGTTAACGGCTGCTAAATGAAAATTTGATCAAATAGCTGAAGCAACAACAAACGAAATAAATGAAGTTTATAATATTGATCCTAGGATTAGATTGACACCATCTTGTACAGCACTAACTTCTTCAGTTGATAACCATAAAATTAATGATCTAAACTCGCTTTTAAATGAATTAAAAGATAAACTAAAAAATGTGATATCATACTCCACAAAAATACAGATGTTAACATTAACTCCAGAACTATGATCACTCCTAAAATCTGCAGAATTTTTTAATGTATCTATTTAGCTTAAACGAGAGGCTAGAAAAGCTAAAAAAATAACATGGAACTTTTTATAAAACATCATCAAAAAAAAAAAGAAAGTTGCTTTCCCATGAAACCATTGATCTAGTTCATAGCTTTAATCAAAGTGACGAGTACACACAAACGATGCCTGGAAAAAAAGATTTTTTTCAGTATAAGGTACAGGCAACACATACAAAAAAGACTAATATTGACTAATTTAAAAGAAGTTCATGTAGCATTTGAATCTGAGCATTTAAATGTTGGATTTTCAAAGTTTTGCAGCCTTCACCCAAGATCGTCTGGTACTCACAGATTTTTGTGTCTGTATCTATCATCAGAATGTTAAGTTGTTAACTGATGCTCTTAAAATTGACAAAGACTATAGAGATTTTAGGGAAATGATTGTTTGCAATTGGAATAACTCAGAGTGTATGTTACATCAATGTCTACTATGTCCTGGTATTATTGCTTTAAAAGAATTCTTAACAGGAAAATTTGACAACAATGATAAAGAAATAACAATTAACCAACGGCAAGGTAGAACTAAATAGATAGAACTAAACTGATCAATCAAAAAATCAATATTGAAGATGTTATTGACCTTATATGCAATAAAATAGATAAACTAACATCTCATTCACTTATAGATAAAAGTCAAGCCAATATTGCAGACTTTGCAGAGAACTTTCAATTTAATGTTCAGGATGAAGTGCAAAGTTACCACTGGAATAAACCAAAATGTACGCTTCATCCTATTATTATATACTATAAATGAAATGGTAAACTGATATATAAGTCATCAATCTTTCTGATGACGTTGAACATGATATATACTTTGTATATAAAATACAACAGCTAATTATCAATTACATTAAAGCAAATATTCAACAAACTAGTAATGTTAAATACTTCACTGATGGATGTGCAACACAATATAAAAACTTTAAGAACTTTTTTAATTTTTGCCATCACATAGAAGCCTTTGATATTGATGTTGAATGGTTTTTTTATGCAACAAGCTATGGTATATCTGCTAGATGGTATTGGGGGCGCAGTAAAACGAATAACTGCACAAGCCAGTTTCAAAAGGACAGTGACAGGACAAATTTTAGATATTGATAAGATGTTTGAATTTTGTGTCACCAATGTAAAAACATTCAACTCATTTTGGTTTATAAAATAGAAATAAATGAAGTTCAATCATCATTACAACCAAGGTTTACTTTGGGAAGAACTTTGCCAGGAACAAGATGCTTCCACCATTTTATACCAATTAATAAATGTACAATTTCTTTTAAAAAGATGAGTTAACAAACTAATGCTCAGACATTCAACATTATGCAGATACCAAATGAGCTAGTTGTGCAGCAGGTTATTTATAATCATATGAATTATGTAGCTTGCAAGTATGACAATTTTTGGTAGATTGAAATTATTACCAAAAAAGATGAAAGAGAAGGAGATTATAAAATTTAATTTATGCATCCACATGGTCCCAGCTCAAGTTTTTGGCTCATATGGGAAGATATGTGTTGGGTCCCATCAAATCATGTTTTATGTACCATTGATCCGCCATCTACAACAAATGGTCGCCTATATAAAATTTCAGAAACTAAGTTAAAAAAAATAATTGAACAAAATAATAAATTTATAGAAAAATTTTTTAATGCATTATTATTTTTATATTTGTCAGTTGCACAATTTGGCTACTCAAAAAAATTCTTCTAGTCACTTGTCTTTATGTTTTTAACATAAAAAAAAAAAAAAAAAAAAAAAAAAAAAAGGGGGAAGGGGGTTGGTAAAAAGTTTAATTGTCCTTCTCCTCCCCTTTAAACCATGAGCCCTCCCCAGAAAAAAAATATATATAAATTTATTATTGCCCTTAAAAAGACTTTAACATTAAATTTTTACAACATAAAACTAAGATATAGCCAATTTTGACATAAATAAGTTTGCAATAAATTTTATGCTGACTCAGCATATATATAAGCTTTACTTAAAAGGTTGCATTTAGAAAAGTTGAAAAATGCAGTAATAAATTTTTTATTAATAGTGATGTTTGATACCTATATTGTAAGTTAAAAGAATGCCTTAAAAAAAATTATTAAGGTGACATCACCATTTCGACAGTCGAAATACCCCAAAATATATGCCTTTATTATCTAATTAACATGTAATTAAGTTGGTCAATAAAATTTTCAACTTAATATTTGTACCCGCCATGTGGAAGATTGTCAATGTACAAAATTTCAGGATGATAGCTCATTTGGTTCATAAAATATTGCTATTTAACAACAAAAAAGTATTTTGCAAAAAAATGCTGAGTCAGCATAAATAAGAATATTGAATCCTGAATATCTCAAGAACTGCAAGGAGTTGGAGGTTCCAATTTCAGATTTTCCTAATTTTCAAAAATCCTATAACATTAAAAAATTAGCTAAATCTAAAACATGGGGTGACATTTTTTGTTTTTTTCTGCTAATTTGACATTAATTACCCGTACCTCTTATCATCAAATGTATATATCTTCATAACATCTGTGTTGAGCTAATATTCTTGGTGTTAAATCTTTCTGCATAATACTAAAAATACTAATCAATTTTTTTAAATCTACATAAAGAGGTATGACATAATTACAAACATGATTTACCAAACCCATGAGAAGATAAAGTTACACTTAAGGGGTAAACAGATTCTATCTGTTGACCAGCCTCGCACCCCTTCCTCATCTATTAGGCTGGCGCAGATGTATTCTTAATACATTGTTTCCTGTTTAGGATGTTGAACGCTGGATCTTCTTGACTCAATGCGTGGGTATTGCTTGTGTCTCTATTTTTATGACTGGGCAACTCATTCTATTCTTTTCTCTTCCAGTAACTTCCAACTCTTATAGTGGTTGCTTGCAGCCTTGTTGGAAGTGAAAATGTTAAAGAAAAAAAAAAAAAGAAGATAAAGTTCTGAGTACAATAATTTTTACTAGGTTCTCAGGAAGTCCTTTACATGGTTCTCAGGAAGTCTTTTACATGGTTCTCAGGAAGTCCTTTACATGGTTCTCAGGAAGTCCTTTACATGGTTCTCAGGAAGTCCTTTACATGGTTCTCAGGATATTACTCTTTTATAAGACAAGACTTCACAACAACTTTCTGAATGAAAATTAATGGAGCACAAAATTGTCTTGTATATCCCAGCTCTTCATTAGATTAAAAATATATAAAAACTAATAACTTTGCAAGTTATCGACTTTGACTAAACTACTTTAAAAAATTGAATAGTTGATTTAATCAACTATGGGTTTCCTTTTAATTGAATAAAAGTCAATTTATTCGGATCCTAACATTCTTATCTCTATCTTTTCATGATTTAACTTTATCAATATCTAACTCTGTTATGACAAATTAGTAAAGATATAAGTAGATTATCTTGTAACAATAAAATATTTATAAAGATCGAGCCATGCTTAAGTATATTATTCTTAATTATTATTTGTATATTTTGGATGCGTAAGTATATTATTCATAGCAGGTTTTTTAATTTAACCAAAATACCATATTAACTCTTAGTTTACTGCATGTCACTTCATGTTTCCTTTTTCTCATTATAGTAAATCATTGACTTTATTTTTAAAAAAATGTTAATTAATGTGTTACCAGTTAAAGATGCAAAAAAGATAAGAAGTCTTATAAATCTGTTTTCCTAAAAAAAGTTTGAATAGATTTGCTCCCAACTTTCTACGCCACAAAAATTAAGCCTTTACAACAATTAAAGCAAAAATTTTGCCTTGCAAAATTTTTGCTTTAATTGTTGTGAAAAATGATACAATAATTTAAAATTTTTTGAAAATTTTCTTTTTAAATTTAGTTGAAATTAGTATTCTAAGTATTCTAATATTTATTTAAATTTAATTATGTAATGATTGGTTCAATTCCCGATGGACATTTTTAATGATTGGTTTAACTCTTAACTGGTTTAAATTCCCACTACGCCCTGGAAGTACTGCGCTTAATTTGTTTCTCTGCACATTGGTCTTGTTTTTTAAGGTTCGTGTTTCAGAGTTAAAAAGTTGAGAGAAGGTTGTAACCACAATAAAGTAGCCTCCTTGACTGTATTAGCCCTTTCAGCCGTGGGGAGGTTAATAAAATTAAAAAAAAAAAAAACTCCCTTCATACATAATAAAAGATTGGGATAATTTCTTTTAATATGTCCTTTTCAAAATGACAGGTTCAATTCCTCTAAACAAATTTTTGAAGATGACCTTAAAAAAACTGGTTTTCAAAATTTTCAACTAAAATTTGACCCTGATTAAAAAGAAAAAAAAAGTGAAACAGAACTAGAAATGTATTTTGGTTCAACCCCCCAATTAGCAAAAATGTTTCCACCAACATGGAAAAAGTGTTTTTAAAATTGATCAATAAGCAATTCCCACCCTCTAATAAATTACATTAAAAAATTTTTTTGAAATACAATTAATGTTATATACAATTGCACAAAAATATGGAAAGAATTGTAAAAGGTCACAATAATGCTTTGTTAAACAGAAAAGAAATCCTAAATGAAAAAACAACAGAAAATTTTAATTGTAAACAAAAAAGCAGTTGTCCAATTAGTGGAAATTGTTTATCTAAAAACATGGTATATAAATGTGTTGTTTCCTCTAAGAATGTTCCAGATATATAATATGGCTTCAACCATATAATATGGTTCCAGAGATATATAATGGCTTAACAGAGGATGAATGGAAAAAATGCCAATCATAAGCTATTCTTTAAAAAATAAAAAAATTCAAAAGACACTATGCTGTCAAAATACATATGGGAATTGAAAGATAAAAATATTGATGATTTTATACTGAATTGGTCCATCTTTAAAACAGCACCAGCATATAATAATATTTCTGAAAAATGCATAGTATGTCTACAAGAAAAATATTTGAAATAATTACACATGTGAACCAAGAATGTTTATTAAACAAAAAAATTGGAATTGATTTCTAAATGCAGGCATGAAAATAAGTTTCTCCTAAAAAACTATAAAAATAAGTGAGCTCAAAAAACAAATATATAAAATTCCCCTTTTTAAAAATTATATATATATATATATATATATATATATATATATATATATATATATATATATATATATATATATATAAATTAGTAAATACACATATCTAATTTTTTAATTTTTAATTGTTTCTCTATCAGTAGGTTTATCAGGAAGATCATCAGGAATTTATTATTGCTCTGTTCTTTAAGAACAACATTAAGAACATTTGTAGAATACACTAACATAATTTATATACTTATATATAACCATTTTAAATTTTTTAAAGAACAAACACTTATATGCAGAGAAACAAACTTTTAAAAGTAGAAAACTTATCATCTTACTTATCATTTTACATTATTAGCACTATTAAAAAATACCCTTTTTTTAAATACCTCAGGCTCATCAAACAAACTGCTTCCTGCATCACTAAATAATCCTTTTTTTTTCCCAAACATCCCTTCATTATTTCCAAAACTCTCACTTCTTTTAGGAGGACCAAAAAGACCAAAGAGTTCATCATCTAAAAATAAAACAGTAAGAAAATTGAATGTTTTGTTTTTACTAAAAGGTTAGATTTTTCTATGAAAATCAGAATTAACTCCTATTCATATTTTATTTACCATTTTCACTATTATTCATTACACTTGTATTTTCTTTAGAAACTTTAACATTTTTGGTTACTTTTGCAGTAACTTCATCACATGATTTTTTTTTCAACAAATTGGGAGTTACTTCTTCTACTGATTTGTTTTCAGATGATTTGCGAGAACTTGTAATTTGTTGTGATATCTGATTTGCTTCATTTTTTACTTCAGATTCATTTTCAGAAGATTTTTCCATCTTTCTTGCAATGCCCAGCTTTGAAGCAAGCTCTGACTGCAAATCAGTTTTGGACTGGATAATTAAAAAAAAAAAAAACATATTAACAAGTTTTATATTGTAGTCAAACAAACAAGCCCCCTCTTCCCTCCTTAAAAAGAAAATCTTAAAAATCTCTACCTTAACAACTTCTACTTTTTTTTCAACTATTTCTTCACTTTCCTCTTTTTTATTTATTTGTTTTTTTTCTCCGAATAAATCTTCCTGCTCACTGTCAGATGAATCATATTTATTGTTGTGTTTATCATCGACATTAACCTTACCATCTTGATTACTGGACAACTTTGTAACAGATTCTTTTCTTACCAGATTTTTAGTTTTAACTGATTCGTCAGACTAGAAAAATATTTTAATAATTTTTTAAAATATTTTTTAATTTTTAAGATATGTAGGTGTATACATATTTAGTAAGATATATATATTTATTAAAATAGATATTTTGATATATAAAATTGTTAAAGTATATTAATATTTAAGTTAAAATTAAAGAAAAATTAAAATATAACAATAAGAAATACAACAATATAATACAACAAATGTGCAACAACAATATATAAATAAATACAACAAGAAATAAAAAATTTTAATTAGTTAACATGGTTAATAACATATTACTTATAAATGCAAAATGATGTTTTTGTTTTTATATGTCTGTAAAGCATCATTTTTAAATGGATTTTTGTACTTTGTTATTAAAATTTGAAATCCATTAATTTTTAATAAAAATATTTAAAAATTGTAGCATTTTTTTTTTCAACTGAATGGATTTTCTGGTGTTAACCTGTTTACAGATCAGAACTGAATATTTACCTTTTAATTCGTCCAAAATTAATAAAAACCCTTTACCCGTTCCCACTTATAAATTGGGGTCTTTATATTAAAGTTTTTTTAAGTAAGTTGCCTTCACTGTGGCTTAGGAACCTCACTTGCTCCAAAAGAGGCATATCCTAATAGTTTAATATATCTATATATTCTAGATTGTAATCTCTTACAAATGCTTATATAACTAATTATTGATGTTTTTTTAGGTAAAAAGAAAATTGAAATCAAAATTTAAAGTAGTAACTTGATGTCTAATAATGATTTATAAGTGAATTGAAATCTTGCATCTGCTTATATAACAAAGTATTATGTGTACTACACATCTGCACAGCTGCCAATTGCAAACTTAAACTTATAACATAAGAAAAAAGCTGATGACAATAATCTGATAAAATAAAATAGTAATAAAGTAGTAATAAAAAAATAAATCTGCAGACTTTATCGTAGGTGTCGTCCAAAATTAACATGTTTTTATTTTTATTCACTTATTTTTAATTTTTTTTTCAAGAGATTAGAAAAAGCTCAACACAACCTACATCCAACCACATTAGGAATAGCCAGTTACAGTGTAATGTCTTTACACTAAACATAATAATAGTAAGAAAAATTTCTCATACCCAAAGTATACTAATAAAGATAGACTCATGACCCTTGACTTTACAATTCTAAAAGAACAACCCATAAGAGGAGACCTAATCCAACACTTTAAAATTAAAAAAAAAAAACAGCTGAAAGAAGTAGACTACCATCTCATCAACAAACCAGTGCAAGAACAATCAAGATTTGAACAAGAAGCTACTGTAGCATCAAGGTGAAAATTAAGTGATAGTGAATTGTGATATCTGGAAATATTTCTAATCTTCAAATTCTCAGTTTATTAAAAACCATGAAATAAAACAACTGTTTTAATGGAAGGGTTAATTTATCATATTACGAAAATTTATGAAAAAACAAAACAATAAAATTATGACTGCAAAAATAATACCAGTAAAACCTTACATACTTTAACTTATTGTTTGTTTAAATATCAGTTAACACAAACTTAAAATAATGCAAGGTAATCTTAAAATTAACCAATTAAAAATTATACTAAAGCTAATGGCGCATTAAAACAAAAATTAAAATTTGATTTTTGTTAGAGGATAACTTTGAAGAACTATTTATTAAAATATTTGAATGCTTTGAACTAGACATTAATAAGTAATAAAAATAATGATAAAAAGATTTTAAAATTATTATATTATTACAGTTTTTTTGTTTGTTTGTTTTGAAATAACTATAAGCAGTTTAAATTAGTTTTAATGCTTTTAAGCACTTTTGCCTTTAACTTTATGTAAACATTTGCGCTAGAGATTGAAAGTCTAAGTGCGCTACTTGTGTGTCATATAAAGGTGGAGTGGAATCTTCTATTTACTGATACAAAATAACCCTTTGAACTCTTCAAATAAAAATACAAATGTTAAAGCATTGGTAAAATCTCTATACTTTGTTGAATTTTCTATACTTGTCATAACTAATGTCCTTTCTATGTAGAGACTGTCCCACTCAAACCAAAGGAAGCTACCTTACTCAAACCTAAACTCGTATGCATTTACTGAAGCAAATAGTTATTTTAGTAAAATGTCATCAGTGAGGTTTTATTCTAAAATCATCTTTTTATATGTAATATAATGAATACTTTGTTAAGTAAATTTATAATAACATTTGTAATAAAATTTATTTTTAATAAGCATACATATTTTATACTTAAGTAAAACTTATTTTTACTTATAAGATAAAAATAAAAAAATACTATTTAAATAAAATAAAATAAATACTGAGTAATCTTCATTTGATTCAGAACTTTCTTGAGCAAACTCTTCGTCAGAGCTTTCGTCCGAGCTTTCTTCAGCATGTTTATTAACATCCAATGTACCTTTGTCTTCTTCATCATCACTTGGTAATTCAAGCAAGCCTAATGTTTCATCATGAAGGAACTCAGCAGTTCCAATTAAATGAGGAAGTCGACGACTTTCATATACATCCTTAATATAATAGTATAACTCAAACAAAGTACAAATCAGCTTAAAAAATAATAAGTTTCAATTAATAAATAATATATAATTTGAATTTTTTAGTTTAAATAAGGTTATATAATCAATTTTTTTTTTAACATATTCACCTCCCAAAGGCCTAGTGGGCCACTGTAGTCAAGAAGACTTATGTTTATTTGTTTTTTCTCTCCACTCTAACTTAACTATAAGATTTATGGCTTTAAAAACATCATTATTATTAAAACACTATTTTCTCATAAAGGTAACTATGTAGTGTATTATTTAAATATCACAAGGAAAAACACCAACTGCAGTTACTAAAAACAGATCACTATCAGACCAAAGCGTATTTATGCTTTCCAAAGACTTACACTACTTGATAATTTATGTGAGTTCAGTTTACTGATTTCTTAACTCTCTAATACAATATCAAAAAGTTAAAAAAGCCAGAATAAAACTCAAAGGACTTTTCTTGTTATTTAAAGATCAAACCCAAACCCTTTCCCAATACAATTAAAAGACTGACCAAAACCCTCAACATATTTACACATCAAGGGTTTCAATATCAATAATTTTTATTTAAGTAGCCTTTTTAAATATTACTCTTAATTTTATCAAATTCTAAATTCCATCTAATTGTGTTATGCTTACCTTTGGTTCAATTATTGGATCAGAGACATGAGTTTGGAATTCTTGATTGCTCTCTTCATCTGAGTCTAAATAAAATTAGATATAAGAGAAAACAATTTAACTAAGTATTTAATTCTTATAAAACTTATAATATATACTTTAAAAATTCTAATAGACACTATGGTTTAGTAACATTTTGCTTTATAATATATTTATAGAGAAAAATGTTACAAACCAGTTGTCCCCACCACCACCACCACCACCACTATCTAGCTGCTAAAAATATTAATAAAATGTACATTTATGCGCTAACTATTTTTTAAATTAAATAATATATTAAATACCGTGTTTTTAATAAGCTTTGTCTCTCTCTTTTTCTTTTCTCTCTCTCTCTCTCTCTCTCTCTCTCTCTCTCTCTCTCTCTCTCTCTCTCTCTCTCTCTCTCTCTCTCTCTCTCTCTCTCTCTCTCTCTCTCTCTCTCTCTCTCTCTTAAGTACATGTTGTGTAAAATCCATTAAATTTAAATGAGGAAACTAATTATATTTTATCACTTTTTAAAAATCCACAAAAACGCAAATTAAAAGACTTGAATGTTTTTAAAAACACTCAAAATGTTTTTATTTTAAAAATATATATATATTTTGAATGTTTTTATTTTTTTACTGTTTACATACATCGACAAATTGGAAGAATATGCAAGGAGTTCTACTACATTGACAAATAGGTAGAACATGTGAGGAGTGCTGCAGGAAGTAGCTCCTTTTAATTACTCCAGGTCAGGTCAAGTTCAGTATAATCACAATCACTCTGCTACTGGTATTATGTAACCGAGTACTACCGACCCCATGTCCTGCTGCCTTGTAGAGTGTTTCTTTTAGGCAAAGGCTAGGAGAAACAAACTCCAATTTAAAAAACTCCAGCTTTGGGGCTCTTGGTTGAGTAAAGGCTAGAAATAGTTCCTTGATAAAAATACAGATCTTATGCAGATGTTAACTGCATCCAGCTACTGTCTTGAAAAAAGCCTCCTAGGCAAAGGCTTTAGGGGTAAGCAGAATTATTCTGCTAACCAGCTACAAACCCTTTATTCATCTATTAGGCTGGCATAGATGTGTAAACATGTGATACATTGTTTCCTGCCTAGAATGATCAATGCTGGATCTTCTTGACTCTCCTCATAAATTTTTGCTTGCGTCTTCGTGATAGTGGCTATGCAACTATACCTGTTATCTCCTAATGAGGGTACAGCTCTAAAACTCAGTTTAGTGGTTCTGAGGCTGGCTGGTAGTAAAGTTTCCTGAACTGTGTGGTAACTGATTCTATCAACAGCTGCAAAATATCAGGATATTAACAGTGCCATGTTGCTCATGGATGGTGTTCTTAATACATTTGGGGCATATTGTTAATTAACAGGACTGAGATAACTGCATAGCTCATTGCTTAGGAGGCCGTGCTCTATCTATGAGTCAAGTTCTCTTTAAATATAAATCATGCCAAAAGTAACCCAAAATATTAAACAAAGAAAACCATCCCCATCACCTAACTGTTTTAATATATCTTTTACAAATATATGGGATGTGCAAAGCAACCATTCATCAGTTGAATCTTACCTCTTGCAAAATTAACCAGACTTGCTCGCTTTTAGTAAGACTAATTTGAAATCTGCTATTCTTTTTTCTGATCTCAGACTTGATGGGTACTATCCTTTGATTCGCAAAGATTCCAATAGTTACATGCTTGGCTTGAGGATATAGACACACATCAATTCACCTATTTGTCGTGAAATCAGGTTGAATCTCTTTACCATTCTTTTATGTGGTTCCGCTTAGCACTATTTCACTGTAGCACCTGTTCACTTTACCACCTTTTTCTTTGTTCTATATCGTTCTCCTATATCGTTCTCCTTCTTCCCAAAACTGCACTCTTTTAGATGTAATTTCTGATCAAATTGACCATGCCCTCTCTCTTTACCACTCTGCCAATATTATTGTTATTGGTGGCTTTAACGCTCATCACACTGAATGGCTTGGCTCTAATGCCACTGACCCTGCTGGCATTTAAGCCTATGACTTCTTTATTTCTCAATCTTTTACTCAGATAGTTAACTTTAATCAACCCTAATCATTTACTTACACTCCATGATTTGTATCTGGTTTCTAATAGCTTGTGTTCAGTTTTCGTGGCTGGATAGCTCAGATGGTTAGAGCGTTAAAAGAAAAGTTAAAACCCGGACTGTTGAACGATACGAGTTCAAATCTCGCCACCGCCAACTCAGCGCTTTTACTTCGGTACGCAAAAATGTTGGTCAATAACGGACGCTACTTTGGATTAGTCTTAATGACTATTTGTGGCTGTTCCTATGCTAAGCCAACAATATCTTCGGATACAAGAACACTCCTACAAAACCTCCCGGATTCAGGCAGGAATGGAAGCTTTTATTCCTTTCATAGGTTCCAAGTCAAGCCTCATTCTACTCCATGGTTTTCATCCTCTTGTGCAGCTACTATATCTAATTGTAATCATTTTTCATCTTTTTCAAAAGAGCAACTCTCTTGAGAACAAACAGCTATTTATTGTTGCAAGAAATCAATGAAAAGAGATTCTGTCAGATGCTAAGCTCCATTATTTTCAGTTCACTAAATCTCGTATCTTATCTCAGAAGTTAGGCTCTAGAGACTTTTGGAAAATCTTTAATAATGTTGTTAACAAAGGTCTAACATTCCATCTCTCATTCATGGGACTGATCTTATTACCTCTCCCAAGGATAAGGCAGAATTATTTGCAAAGAATTTTTCTTCTAATTCGACTTTTGAATTGTATTGCCATTTTCTTTGTTCCATTCCAAATAAACAGGTTAACCCATTGTTAGACATTCAAATCACTCTAGCTTCCATTGCTCATATCTCAATTAAATTAATTAAGTCATATCTCAATTAAATTCTTCTATGGCTTGTGTTCCAGACAACATTCCTGTCATAGTCTTACAAAATTGTTCTCTGGAACTTTCTTTTTTCTCCCGAACTCTCAATTCTTGCTAACTGTTGTGACTGTAAGATTTTATCAGCATTAGATGGAGGCGGAGAGGCTAGAGTTATTGCTCTTGGCATATCTAAAGTTTTTAACAAAATACTGTTGCCATATTAAGGCTGGTTCTTCTAATGATGCTCTTTCTTTTCTAGACAAGGTCCAAAAAATTGCCTTGTAAACATAGTTGGACCCGCTCTATCTGTTAAGTTTGAGTCTCTTTCCCATTGTCATAAAGTTGCATATCTTTCTTTTTTCTACAAATGCTATTATGGTCGCTGCTCACAAAGCAAACATTGTCTGGATGGTAAAAAGCAAAAAAATACAATATAACCAGAAGTTGAAAAAAAAAATTAACTTTTGCGTAAAGAATAAGGATGGGAGCCTCCTTAAATGAGGATTTGGATAAAGCATGTTATACAAGCCTTCCCAGGAAACGCAAGTGGTTTTTCATCTTGTATGACCACACACGAGTATTTTTTTTTAGACAACTTGATCACAGCTGTTTGCAAGTTTTATAACATTAATCATTGCGGAAAAAGTTTCAAAAACAAAAAAAGCAAAACTAATGAAATAAGAAATATAAAAAAGTTTAAATAGAAAAAAATAAAAATAAATAAATAATTTAAATAATTTCTGTACTGTTTTTATTTTTATTTCTTCAGACTGGTTATTACATTCAGCAACGAAATTTGATAGACAAAGCAAAAAAAAAAAAGTTTTAAGTCTACAGACTTAAAACTACAAAAGAATGATTTTCCATTATTTAACTTTTTTTTTTAAAGAGGAAAGCAAAAATATAAATTGCTATGTGATTTTAAAATATATTTGTATAAATTTATTAAAACAACAAGGGTTGAATTAAGCAATCGCGAAATGCAAAATCTGGAAAATATCTGGTCTTCAAAATTTTAGTTCATGCAAAATCGTGTTTTTTGTTTTCAAGGGGCGAATGAACATAAACTTGTTAGTGAAAAAGTTATTAAAAATAAAATAAACTTACGACTACAAAAGTAATAACACTTTTATAATTCATTCTTAGTAATAAGTGCTTTATAAAAGTAATAACACTATTATAGTTTTATTACTTTTATAATGCAGTTAGTGACTAGAGTGTTATTACTTTTGTAGTCATAAGTTTATTGTTTTGTTTTTTATAACTTTCTAGCTAACAAACATATTTTGCTCCTTGAAAATAAAGTACACAGCTTTCCATACTTGTTGAAAGTAAAGAGGGCGACAAATCGTTTTTTTTTTTAATGAACATTGATGTTCGTTATTTTATTTAATTACGAATGCCTAATTTAAGAGATATATTTCATATAAGGAAGTTTTATTTTTAATAAGTTAATAAGTTAATAAGTTATTAGATATATCAATGATGCTTATTGAATTTAATAAATTTTTATTTCTTTAAAACAATTTTTACTCATTCGCAAAGACCTAACGATTGTAAATTGTTATCCATTGATACTAAATAATGAATTTTTCTTAATTTAGTTTGCTAAATTTATTTACAAATAAAAAAACGTATTAATTTGAAGAAATTAAAATAAAAGGGGCTAAAAATAAAATAAAAGTTGTTTTGACATTTCTTTTTTAAAACATTTAAAAATATCATATTAGGTATTTAATGATAAGTTAATAAAATCATCATATTATTGGTCTTGTTAAATGCACAGTAAAAAATAATAACTATAATAAACATAAATTCTATATATTCTATTAGATTTTATCCATTTCAGCAAAACTTAAAAATTTTTTTCCAACATTTTAAAAGTGTTTTTAATATGCAAATAAACATTACTTTACTTCATTACAAAGAAAAATTAAAAAATTAAAAAAAAAAAGCTCACTATAGAAAAAATCAATCATATGCTTAATAGAGATGTGCCGGAACCAGTTTATGCCGAGTCTCCAATTCCAGGTACCCGGCTGAAAAAACCGGGTCCGAGTCCGGGTACTCGGCACCGAGTCCATTTTTTAAAAGTTGGAATAAAAACTTGTGAAATCTCTAGCGCTGAACTATTCACACAAAATACGCTTTTTACGCTAATTAACCAAAAGTTAAGTGGCGGAAGTACCATTTAGCAAAACCCCGCAATGCAGGGTAAGGGGCCTGAGTTGTCAGGCCTAACTTTTTTCAAAAGTTGTGCAACAGTTTTTTAATAACTACATTTAGTTTAAAATTATTTTCTTTCCTGGTGGAGCGGGCCTAAATGATATTTTGTTATAATTATTATTGAAACTAAAATATGAAAAATGTGTATAATATTTACCTAATATCTCTACTTTTATGATTTTTGCTTGATACGAATGAAAAGTGGTATCAGCGTTCGAAATCATTATAAACGTTTCATTCAAAACTAAATTACTAAAAATTATCTTGTGTTCTAACAGAATAAAAAGAAGCTATTCTAAAACTTTTTTTCCCATTCTTTTTATTCGTATTCTCGAATTATTTCATTTAGCGTTACAGTTTTTGTATCCGTATAAATTTTTTTGCAAAAATGTATTAAAAAATATTTTAAGTGAGATTGTTTTAAGTTAATAGAACTTTGTGGTTATCAACTACATAACATTCTTAAACTTATATCAAGAAGTTTGATGGTTAAAGTTTAAATTTAAGGAAAAATCAATTTGAAGATACACGGTACCGGGTACTGCAACAAAATGGTCGATACCGGGTACCCGGTAAAACAGCCAATTTGCCGGGTACCCGGGTCCAAACCGGGTACCCGGCACATCACTAATGCTTAAGCATGGTTTCTTTTTAAGTAATTGCAAATGCATTCATTTAAGTAAAATTTTGCATGCTCTTGATAACAAATGCAAAAACCATGCTAAAACATAATTACATTCTTTGATAATATACTTAGTTATTTTACTTAAAATTAACACTATTTAAAGAAATAATCATGTTTTAGCATGGTTTCTTTTGACGTCTTTAAAATGTGCTTTAAATTTTAGTAACTAATTGTTTTTTTTTTAATTTAGGGTTCCAAGTTAGCAAGCTTCTACTGTATTTTTCAGTTGCTCCTATAAAAATTGCATAAGACTTTGAAATTTTAAAAAACTGAGATCACTCATTTAATATGATTTATATTTCTATAACTTTTAATAAAACTAATATCAAATTATTTTTTGATTTATATTTTGATAAATTATAGTGAAACATTTCAAATCATTCTATTAATTATTAAATCTAAATATTTTTTTAAATATAAAATACTTAATACTATATTATACTAATTATAAAAATATAATAATATAATAAGTATAGTTAATAATATATATAATATCTAAAGATTGCAATATTACCTTCAATAGGCTTTACTTCCATTGTAATGAAAGCATTATCTAGAACAGTAAACCCATAATCTACTGCTTCTTTAAAACGTGGTATAACTTCTGCTTCTAACTCCTCTCTTGTTTTACTCTAATCAAATAAAAAATGAATTAAAATAGAATAAGCCAAAATTTCCAAAGTTTATTTGTGTGCAAATTTGTACCAAAAGTTAAAATTATAAATCTTACTTTTTTTGGTAACAATTCTTTATCAACTTTTTCATTTACTGTTTCTTCATCATAAACTCTCTATATATATATATATATATATATATATATATATATATATATATATATATATATATATATATATATATATATATATATATATATATATATATATATATATATATATACATATGCATATATATATTCATATTATGTATACATACATACATACATACATACATACATACATACATACATACATACATACATACATACATACATACATACATACATACATACATACATACATACATACATACATACATACATACATACATACACACATACATAATGTATGTATGTATGTATTTATAAATCCTATATAACAATATATATCTTATATAAGTTTCTGAAAAAAAATGTTTACAAAACTTAAATTGAGTAAATTTGAAAGAAAAAGATTCCCATGACTTATTTCCAGCTTTTGATTATTTCCAGCTTAGAGGTGTAAGTTATTTTTTAATTCTTCCCTCTTTTTTTTTCCTAATCAAGGTCTTTATTTTTTGATTTAGTTTGTTTTAACGTCTTTATGTAATGAATTAGTTTGGATTCAACACTTTTGAGAAAAGAACTCAATTTATTCTTCAAGTAAAAAAAATTCTAAACCATTTTACATTCCTTCAAAATTTATAAACAAGGGAAGGAGGGGGTCCTAATATACTTTATTCCACACCCCAGCCACCCACATTCATTTATTCAGCAGGTGAGATGAGTATTTTTCTTATTTAAAACACTTAATTAAACACTTGATTAAAAACATTTTTTTCTGATGCAATATATTCTCACTTTCAATACACTGTCATTTTCAAATGTCAATGTTTATTATATGAATGTATATTAAGTCAACATATATTAAGGTATTGCATGAATGTATATTATATGAACGTATATCATATGAATGTAAATTATATGAATCAAGCTTGGATAGGAATGGTGTGCATTCGAGTGCCATTCCATTCAAGTGCTAACCTAACATTTTCTTCTAAGACTACTCCTAGAAGAAAATGTAGCTCCATTGGAGGGATAAAGTCCAATAAGAGTGTTTGATTGTCCAAGCAAATAATTGGTTTGTGAACAACATTGTTGAACTCTTTTGCTCAAAATTGACCCACTCCTTTGAAATGCATCTAAATCAGCTTGAATGGAACCAAATGTTCTGGGTTTTCCATAGATGTGAAAATTTTTTGAATCTGCATCACACCATGTACAAGGGTGAGCACTGAAGTCTAGTTATGAGATTCGCTACTTTTGCGTCACATAAAACAACAAAATTGTTTGCTTCAATAACTTCCAAGAATACTTTCAAAAAACCACCTCCGCCATCAACTCCCACTTTGATCAATGGTTCTTCAGGAATATTTCTGACTTTTGAAACATGGTTGACTATATCAGACACATCTTTGCAGTGAACAATAACTCTGGTTGAATCTTTCTTTGTTGAGTCTTGAATGTAGTTTGAAGTGACTGTTCTGCAAGAGTCCTTCCAAGTGACACAAACTTGTCACGAAAATTTTTTTTAACAATCTGATGAGGAGTGGCTTGATTTAGTTATGATGCAAGTTTTTCATGCCACGGTTAGAAAGTCCAGTTTCATTTTGAACCTTGAGCATATCTATAGCTGTTAGCTTTTTTTCCTCAGGAAAGAACTCTCTTGCCCTGGATGGCCCTATAAAAAGACAATGCTATTAGACACAGGGGATTAATGCTTATGATAGTTTAAAACTGTATCATACCTGGAACAACTGGAAAACTGTTGCCTTTCTTTGCTTGACTGAGATGGACAGCGCCATGAGGAGAAGGAGGTTTGTTTGAGATGACCGTAGTTGCAAACATCTTGGCAGCCAATGCATCTTTTGAGGCAACTGCAACCAAATTTTGTCGCATTGTTTTTTTTGTATAATTGTGGGGCAGCCCTCGCCCAATCACAGAAAAACAGCCTGAACATCTTTTTTCAATGCTTCCTTCATTCTTAGGTTTACTTGCAAACAGTGGATGGGGAATGTTCAGTTTATTTCTGGCAATTTAACAGATCAAACAATCCCAAGGAGATTCTCTGGTAGCTGGTCAAACTGAAATGCTCTTAAAATCGTAAAGGAAGAGGAGGATTTTCACCCTCATCTTTTCTTCTGATGGCAACACAACATTTTTCACAAATACCTGAAGGAACCCTGTTGTCAGAAAAAAACAGCTCAACTTTTTGTGCTTTCTCAATCAGAAAAGTTGTTTGCTCACGATTTCCCTTCTGAAGGCACAAAAAACAAACAGCTTTTCTATTCTCTTTGTGGTCTTTGGCTTTGTTAGGCATTTTTGCAACTTATATGTTCTAGTGTGTTGTGAAAATTGTTAATTTTTGAAATCATTTGAAATGCTTTTTCCCAGAAATTTTGTGAAAAAAATACCACAAAAATAAGACATTATTATTTTAAGGTATTTGTTTTGGAAATGATAAAAACGACCAGAATAATTTTCAGAAACACTAATGTTTTCAATTAAAACTACTTTTAGATGTTTTTCCTATAAGTTGAGTAATAAGTTCTGTAAAAATGCAAAATCCCCTGTCATTTCACATTTTTTTAGGCCTATTAGCTTCAAAATTTAAAATTAAAATATCTTTCATGAACGTAATAGTTTGATTTCCAAAATTATTTCTAAATGTTCTACTATATATGGGCTACCATCCCTCAAAAAGGTTTTCTGGGGACATGAGTTTAGGGTTGATCATGGTTTGGGTACACAGTACCTTGGCAGCTATTGCAACTTAGATAGAGGCGAAAAAGAGTAGCAGCACTTTTTTATAAGAAAAAATCAACAAAAGTGTATGCAAATATCTAACTTACCTTAACTTGAAATTATGAAATATTAAAACATGTATCAAGTTTTACAGTTTGACTTTCACTTGAAAACTGCATTGCAGCAAGATCTGCTTAATTTTGATCTATAGCATTTATTTCTGTTAATTAAATTATATAGTTTTGAAAATTTTTATTAATCAATGTGCCAGCGTGGTAGAGTCGATAGTGTGCAGATCTTCTGAACAAAAAAAGTAGTTGTTCGAGTCCTACCAATGGCGACTTTTTTTTAATTTTTTTTGATTATTTTAAAGTACAAAATACTTTTGAAGTTTTATAGAGATTTTATACAAACATATGTAACAATATTAATAAAGTTAACAATATTAAAGTTAACAATATTAAAGTTTTAATAAAGTGTATAATAATACACTTTATCAAACAAAAAGAATTCTAAAAAAAGCTAAAAATTCTAAAAACATCAAAACACCAGGAGAAAACATTTGTTGTGTATGTGTCATGATTGAGATACTTATGTTATTAATGTGCTCAGGTAAATAGTCCTAATAAGCTGCAAATGGTCTGAAAAAAAATTGTCTGAAGCTTAATAAAGAAAAAACTTAATAAGACACTCCTGCTACTCTAGAAGGTGCTGCTGTGAAAGCAAAAAAAAAAAAAAAAAAGCCTGTAGCAAGAAAAAACATTAAAACTTTCTTCTGACAATTAAAAGTTTTTTTTTGCTACATTTATTTTTTTACTATAAATATATGCTGCAGCCGTTTTTCAAAACGCTTATTACATTTCAAGATAAACGCGATCAAAAAAAAATTATTAGGAGAAACTCTTTGTAAAACGTTTTTTGAAATGAACATTTTTTATGAATTTTTTCAGAATTCTTTGAAAATATGTATTCAATAACGCCTGCAGAAATCTAAACTAGCTTATTTTGTAAAAAAGTCAAAATTGTTTTTTTTTTACCTTGAGGTGTTTTGAAAAACGGCTGCAGTACAGATGATACAACAAATATATTGAAATGAGATAAATAGATGCAAAATTTAAAAGCTCTTAACAAAAGCCACTAAACCAAAAAAATTAAAAGTAATTGCAGTTTAGTGCACTTAAAAATTTTATGTATAGAATAGTTGTGTTTGGAAAGTAACATGTAAATCATTTTTTAATATAAACTAATTTTTTTTTAAACTTTGTTGTGTTTAACCACTCCTATATAAACAATGTATATAAACAAATATGTTATTTGTTTATTTATATATATATATATACATATATATATATATATATATATATATATATATATATATATATATATATATATATATATATATATATATATATATATATATATATATATATATATATATATATATATATATATATATATATATATATATAAACAAATAACATATTTGTTTATATACCTGGTACTCAAATGAAGCAAAGTTATAAAAAAAATTCAAAAATATTCATTTTGAAAAAATTTTAACTTATTTATCAAAATTATCATAAAAAAACATAAAAAATGCATTTTTTTTTATTTTTTATTAATAAAAACAATTTTTTTATGTAATAAAGCCAAAAATAACTTTTTTTTCGAAATGAATATTATTTTTGAAATTTTATATAATTTTACTTCATTTGAGTACCAGGTTGACATATTTTTGAAAAACATTTTTTTTTGGAATTATTAGAGACCCATTAAATATGTGAGGGTCTTGGGGGACCCTTTAAAATATTGTTTATTCAAAAAAAATTTAAACCTAGTGTTTTTGTATTAGATAGAACACATTTAGGGGGTGAGAGCAGATTATTTTCAAAAATGTTGTTTTAAGTAGTGATCGACCGAAATTCGGTTCGGTTCCGGTTCCGGTCATAAATTTGGCCGGAATCGAAATTCCTGTTTCGGTTCCGGCTAGATTTGAGATTTCGGTTTCGGCCGGAATTTCGGTTCTAAATGCTACCGAAAATAGATATTAAAAAATTATTATTAAGATATAATAATATCTTAATAATAATTTTTAGATATTAAAAAGATATTAAAAAATTATTTAAAAAAATTTAAATAATTTTTTTGCTAGTTATTTCAACTTCTTATATTATTTTTTGCGTCCGATCGCGTTGTTACTTTTATCTGGTTTTTAATTATCATGTTTAAAATATCATGATCTACAAATTTAATGACGCTACAATGTTATCTACATTGTAGAGTCATATGTTTATGGACTTGATTATTTATTTATTTTAATTATCGCATGGAATTGGTAACGGTAAAATCTTTACGAACTTGGTGATTTTTTTTTAAATTATCACGTGGAATTTGTTTGAAATAAATTAAAAAAGTTTTTATTGGTTTCATTCATTTTTTTAAAGGAAGTTGTTTTAATGTTTTCTCGTCGTTAAAACATTAAAACAATAATGTTTTCTTGTCGTTATAACTTTTTTAATGTTTTCTCGTTTAAATTGTTAATTGTCTTTTTAACGAACTTTTTAATGTATTGAACTTTTTAATGTAACGTAAGAAATTTTTCTTAAATATATATATATATATATATATATATATATATATATATATATATATATATATATATATATATATATATATATATATATATATATATATTGTTAAGTTAACAACAATATTAATACAAATTAATATAATTAATAATTAATATAATTAACAAAGAACTTGTTAATTATATTTTAAATCCTTGTTCTTGACTCAAACTTGCAACATTAAAAAACTCATCTGATTAAGTTCTTCGATTTCATTCTAATAAAATGAGCTCAAACCGAAAAACAAGTTTAGTGTGGAAGTACTTCATAATTGAAGCAAACAATCCAAGAATGGTTCAGTGCAAAATCTGCAACAGCAAAGTTTCAAGAGGATCTGACGACCCAAAAAAACAAGGATTAAGTGGACTCACGTCACACCTGAAGAATCATCATCCTGACATCAAACTTACACCCGAAAAAGCAGAAAATCCAAAGGCAAATGAAGAAGCTGACTTAAATTCCAACAAGAGAAAGGCAGTTACAATCTTCAACATGCGATCAAAAAAACAAAGATCCGACATGTTACAATCTACAATTCCAAACTGGGTTCAAGCTTCTTCAAAAATTGACTCTAATTCTGAAAAAGGCCAAAAATTTCACAAGTCAATTTTTGAAATGATGATTCTTGACCTCCAACCATGGTCTATTGTCAATGATGCTGGATTTTTGAGGCACCATGCTCTTATTGCTCCAAATTACGAAATTGCTAGCGAAAAATACTACAGAAGTTTACTGGATCCGACTTACGAAAAAATTAAAGTTGCTCTCAAGGAAAAGCTGGTTCAATCAGAAGCTGAAAATGTGTCTGTCTGCCTTGATGCATGGTCATCATTTCATCATGGCTATCTGGGAATGACTGTTCACTTTATTTCCAAAGACTGGAACCGTATCAAATTCTGCATCTCTTGTTCTCCATTTGATGAAAGTCATACTGCAAAAAATATTTTCAAAGAGATCAAAGCAGCAGCAGAGGAATGGGAAATTTCTTCAAAAATTGGAGTTTGCTTAAGAGACAACGCAGCAAATGTAAAAGCAGCCTTCAATGAGCCAAGCTGTAATTATAAGTCAGCTGGATGCCTTAACCACTCCCTTCAACTTGTGATAAAAAAAGACCTATTATCAGATCCTACCATCAACGAACTGATTGAAAAGAGTCGAAAACTTTGTTCTTACGCATCCCATTCTATTGGTTTCTACACTGAACTTTACAGACAGCAAGAAATCCAAATGGATAGAAAAGACAGACTTGGCTTAAAAAACGATGTTGCCACAAGATGGAACTCTACCTATTACATGCTTGAGCGAATTTTACACCTGAAACCAGCCATTGCTGCAACCTTACTCAAATTTCCTTCTGTGGGAATTGAATTTTCCGTCCAAGATTGGAGCCTCTATGAAAAAGTGGTGAGGATTTTAAGTGTTTTTGAGGAGGCAACAAAAATGTTGTCAGGTAGTGATTCTTGTATCAGTTCCTGCATTCCAATTGTGACAACAATAATTAAAGCTTTGGAAACAACCTCCGGCGACGTCAGTGTTCAGAAATTGAAAATAGCTATGAAAAATGCAATGGAAAAACGTTTTTCAGCAATTGAAAAAACAGAACATTATTCAGTTGCTACTTTACTTAATCCAAAATACAAATGGTATTTTTTCCGATCTCAAGCTGCTTTGCAAAATGCCAAACACATTGTCATGTCCCAAATGGAGAATTTTGAACCTCTTGAAGATGAATTGGCTCCTGTTACTCAAATTCCATCTGGTGACAATGAAAAAAACACGGCATTCTCGCACATAATGTCAAAAATTATTGCACAGTCTCAAACAGGACCAAATGAGCATTCATCTTCCAAAATGACGAGGGAAGTGTTGAAGGATTTTTTGGATTGTCCAATGGCTTCTCATTGCCTAGAATTTTGGAAAAACTATGAAAAAAATGCGACTAGCAAAATCAAGTTAGCATTGACTAAGGTGGCAAAAAAGTACCTCACACCACCCCCAACATCCACAGATGTTGAAAGATTGTTTTCTACGGCTGGAGATATTCTATCTAACGAAAGAAACAGACTCCTTCCAGAAAATTTGGAAAAACTCCTTTTTTGTCGAGAAAATCTTGCAGTTGTTGGATTCTGCTATTAATCATTTTTTATTAATTTAACTTTTTGTTTTAATTGGAATAAACTTGCAAACAAAAACTATTATTTATTTTCGTTTCCGGTTTCGGTTTCGGCTCTGGTTAGGATTTACTTTCGGTTCCGGTTCCGGTTAGGAATATTTAAAATCTATTTTCAGTTCGGTTCCGGTTCCGGCAAAATTTCAGTGCCGGTCGATCACTAGTTTTAAGGGACACCCTAATCTATGAGTGGCTGTTAATAATTTATATACTTGAAAAGCAATTTTAACCATTAAAACTTTGTAATATATGTTTACAAAAACAAAAAAATTAAAAAACTTACATTTTCTATAAACTGACTGCTTGATAGCATCAAAAAATCATTAAATGTATTATGAACTTTTACTCCTGACCCCTAAAACAACAATTTCATTTTGAACAAAATTAAATGTATAACTTTTAAAATATTATGATGTTAAAATAATTGTTATATAACTGTTATATAAATTTTTTGCTCCTAAAATCAAAGAGTAAATCTGTTTTTTACTACAATCTATGCCCTGGAGAAACTACTTGTATCAGGATCTCTTGTAATTACTTCAATACAGCATGTAAAATTGTTTTTTATCATAATCACATCAAAAAAAATGCTGATAACTTAAGATCAATTATTTAGTGTAGATTTTTTCAAGTATGGCATTTTACTTTTACTTTTAATTTTACTTTTTTAAGTTATAACTGAATTGGAATAATCACAAGAGTTCCTAACAAAAGTAATTTTTCCAGGACAGATTTTGGGTATTTTATATTTGATTTTTCCAATATTGATATAGCAACAATGTAGTTTAAATATTTTATATATTGGAAGTCAACATTATTGACAGTAAACATCAAGCCTGTCTTGACTGTTGTTGTTGAATAGATTTTTAGAATAGATTTCATATTCATAACATCCTCCATATAACAATACTTCTTGATTTAATGTTTTCTTCTTTTCACTATTAAAAACATATTATTATAATACATCATATATTCATGTATATAAATCAATAATAAACAATTATTTTTCATCAAAATTTATCTTTATTAATGCTAACTTAATATAATTACTAACTTGTTCAGATGTGGATAGTAATTTGTCTGTTGTTTTTTAATTTTAACCCTATTGAAATTAACCAACCTTTTTATCAAAACCCAATGCAAGTCAATTATGTTGCTATGCACAGTGATGTGCCAGGAGCCCCCCTCCCCCCAAAGAAAAAAAAACCTGCCATTAGAGGCCCTAATTTCTTAGAGAAAAAAACTTTTGAAATTTCAAAAAAGGTTTCTAAATTTGAATATGGGCCCCCTAGTTGCTAGGCCTCCCCTCCCCCTACTAGGGAGTTTGAGGGTTCTAGTTAAATAATAGAGTTAAATAAAACAATGTTTTGTTGTTAAATAATAACATTTAAAACGATGTTCTGGCTATGAAGCTCAGGTTGCTTTATTTATTATTTTATTGCTTTATCTGCATTCTTTGACATTTTTTTAATAACATTAAAAATATTAATGTAATATAAAACTTATTTTTTTGACTTTTAGTCAAAAAAAAATTGCTATCTAAAAGTTTTTTAGATAGCAATAGTTTATTGATTTATTTTATAGACAATATTTTTCTACACCAGTATTCAACTGTTTCAGTATTCAACTGTATTCAGCTTTCTTAGTTCTACAGACCTAATTGAGTTCTCTAAAAAACCTAGCCTCAATCTCCAAATGGTTCTTTGTAATCTCTGGATTGGATTTTCCTATAATAAGATAATTTTTAAATTGTATAAATTATTGGTAAAGGAAAGCAAGATTTTATACTATCTGACTTCCTTATTTATATAGTAGAAAGATTTGAAAATAATTTAAGTATAGGGTTTAAAAAGCTTTAAACCTCTCAAACAAAGATTTACTTTTATTAAGAAAGTAGTTTATAAATGTCACTACCCTTTAATCAGAAGTTCAAGCTAGTAAAACCAGTAATAAACTTCTAAATGAATAAAAATTGAATAAAGAAGAATAAATTTTTAGTGGATAGTGATTAAGCAGAATTATATTTAGAGTTAAGATTTTTCTCACTGAAAACTATTTTTATAGGTTTTGTGTAAACTTTAATATCAAATCAATCACATAAAAATGATAGCAAACAAGTATAAACAATAACTTGAAAGAATGTTAAAGTAGTCATTTAAAAATGTAAAAAGCAAGACAAATACTGTTTTAATTAAACATTCAAAGATTTTTAAACACAAGAGTTTTTCTTACTTAAAAACTAAAAATGGCAGACAATCAGGTTGTGGTGTAATGGTAAAGCGCTTACTAAATCAAAAAAATTCAAAAAATTTGAGTTTGATCTCTACATACCTGGTAGTATTACACTTAATTTAAATCTGCATGCAGTGAGCTTGTTCGCCTAGATTGTGCTGAAGTGTTAATAGAGGGTTGTAGCAACATTTTTTTTGTTTGTTTTATTTTTAATTAGTAGTCAAGAAGAAAATTTGTTTACAGACGACTGATAATAGACAGGGAAAAAAATGTGCTTACAGACAACTGATAATAGACAAGAAAAAAATCTATTTATAGAGAACTGGTGGCAAACAAGAAAAAAAAGTGTATTTAATTATAATTGCTCTATTAATTTTATTCTTTGCATAATATAGTTCATATATTCAATAAAATTAACAAACATAATGAAAACATGTTAAAGGAAATAAAATTACCTTAGTAATATTGTATACATTGTCAACCAATTTTTCAATATCTGTTGTTTTCGATAATATTTGATGAGAAAACTCTTGCAAATAAAGCAGCAACTGAAACAAAGCAAACCTAATTTAAAACAAGATTTGCGATAACAATAAATTAATGTGAAAGAAATTATTCAAGTCTTTTTTTTTTTTTTTGGAGATTTTTTTAAATATATAAAGTAAATTTGATTAAAACCAAAAAAAAGGTTTAAAATAAACAACTTTGTGTTTGATTTCTTTTGTATGTAATTTATTTTTAATAAGACCCAGAAATTTAATAATTTAATATTGCACAAAATTTTAGGACTATAAGATATACAAATAGTTTGAAATATATTTAAAAAAATATGAATAGGTTTAAAAGAATCTTTTTAATTATTACTAACAATTTATTTCTAATTTAATTTTTTAATTATCAGCTTATACTTTTTTTGTTATGTTTTAAAACAATCGTTTCTTTATCTCAATATTTTTCTAAAAATCTTAAAAAAAAAATGACTTTGCAGAAAGTTTTGAAAAAAATGTTGTACAATGATTTAAAAAAAATACAACTTAAGAATTAATATTAAGTAAAAATTAATTACTTTCATCCTATTTAATGACAGTGCAAAGTGATGAGTTTATATTTTTGATGATATAATACAAATTTTTAAAGAAAGCATACTAAATACTTATAAAAATAGTTGCAGAAACATAGCGAATTTGATTCATATTGCGTTTAAAAGCTTATAAAAATGACATATTTTGTTTAGCAACAGTTTAAAATTTACTCAACAGTTTAAAAATAAAGTGATGTGGAATGAGCTGTCACTAAATATGAAATAACTCTGTGGGTTTATAAACTTTATAATAAAATTTATAATTATAAATTTCATAATGCAACTGCTACAATTAGATTAAGTTAAAAAGTTATCAACAGTTAAAACAGTTTATTTGTTAATAAGCAGTTAATTTGCTCTCATTTTAAGAACCTCTAATAGATCATACAATTATTTCTAATTCTAAAAATAGGCAAAAATAATAATCAGATTTTTTGAGTAAAATTTATTGCAACTTTTTTTTGTCACAAATATCATGTCGTTTTGAATAAAAAACATGGATTGCTTATTACCCCAGCATCTCCTGCGAGAGACCATTCTTTGCTACAGTTTCTCAGTTGAGCTGGTGTCAAAGGAACTGTACCAGCCTTTTCTTTAACATAAACTGTATCGTTAACTAGTTTGTTTGTAGATACTGAAACACTTTGGTTACTTGATAGATCATTTACAGCAGAAAATATTGGTGGAGGTGGGGGAGGCGGTGGAACTGATACAGCAGCCATTTTTTATAGACGCATTAAAATCGCAAATAAAGATCCCGTTTAAATTGCTAAACGGGATATTTGCGAATTGCATTAACAGGGTTTCCCATATTGTATCTAGGGTTTTAAACTTTTTTTTTGAAATTTTAGCTGGGGTTTTTACCAGTGATGACATTTGATCAAAAAACGCCAATTCTTGGAGCATATTTTACAACTTGCACAAGTTGTTTTCTCTCTACTGGATCAAAACATTTGTATTTGATGTCTCCTATAAGTTTGATACTTCACTCTGCAATATCGTTGACATACAAATTTGAAATTGCATACAAATTTTTTTGCAACATGGAAGTCATCAAATTTGTTCCAATACTCTGATACCATTCTTTGGGTTTGTTTAATTTTACCAGGTGAAAAAGTAATCATGACTTTTTTCCAATGAAAAACGATTAAAAAAAGGGTTTTTCTTCGTTACGCCAAACAATAATAGGAGGCTTCGGTTTGTAAGGAATGAATATTTTAGGTTTTGGTAAGTTTATAAGTTTCTGATCCTTCAAAATTTTTTCTGCATAGTCTTTGTTCGACGAACTCACAGTTCGTTGAACAAAGAAATACAACAAGATCCTCAGATAAGTATTTCAGGTGTTGTTCAATGGACTTAATGGTTTCTTCTGCACTCTCAAGGTTAATTGATTGAAGTCTCCTCTTTAAACAAAAGAAATGCAGGTTGTTAGCTGGAGCAGTAGCAGTAATAGCAGATTCCAGAAAGTACTTACCGTAAGTAAGGCAAATGTATTCGGTCATCCTCTCAACCTTTTTTGCTTCTTTATCATTAAGTTCTAAGGTACGAGAGAGTAGGAATATTTTTATATAATAAATGCTTTTAAAATCCATCTTATATGATGATAAGAACTGGAATACCAAAAGTGGAAACCTCTTTTAATATGTCCACCAAAAAAATAGAATAAGCTTTATTTGTTCTCGATAGTCCACATGAAGAAAAGATTTTCTCTCCAAACATTCCATAGCCCATTTCTTTACTTCAAGTGCTTGTTGAAATAAAAAACTGTTTTGATCGTGAGGCCAGTCCTACACTCTCTAATTTATTTTATATTCTTGTTAAAGTTATGAAATTCTTCCTTGAATCTTTCAAACAACTAAACTCTTGGTAATTTGTTCCAACCACAAATAACATTGGATGTTGCTTTTATAAAGAGCTTTGGACTATGATGTCTACATTCAAGTTGGAGTTAAGAACAACCAATTTGCTTTTCAATTAGAATTGCAGATCCATTATACTGTTTGCAGCTGTTGTATCACAAACAAGTGCAACAACAGATGCTTTTAATTGCCACTTACCAACTAGGTTCATTACTGAACAACTTTGCGTTGGACCAGTTAACTAGGTAAACGCAATGTTGGTTACGTTGAACCAGTTAACGACAGAAAGATCCGGAAATTTTAGAAGTATCTAGCAATTTAGGAGGGGCTCTGCATACACAGCAATTTGTTTTTCCTCTTTTCCAGTAGCTTGCTTGAAAGTTTTTCCAAACTAATGAATTTCCGAAAATTCAGATAAAATCCAAGTTTCTTCAATTAATTTAACTTCTTCAATTCTGTCAGCTGATCTTGTCCTATGAAAGTGTAATATTTTTTAAAGCTGCCCCACCTACTGATATTGTCTTAAAGTCTAAATAAAAAAATAAAGACTAAAGTCCCAGATAAGTACCTTTTGTCATTTACTAATACCGAATCCATCGGCAGCTGTTTACGTTCTTTTTGAGTAAAACTTATTGCAACTTTTTTTTGTCACAAATATCATGCCGTTTTGAATAAAAAACATGGATTGCTTATTACCCCAGCATCTCCTGCGAGAGACCATTCTTTGCTACAGTTTCTCAGTTGAGTTGGTATCAAATAAGTACCTTTTGTCATTTACTAATACCGGATCCATCGACAGCTGTTTACGTTCTTTTTGAGTAAAACTTATTATTAAAGCGGTCTCTTCTAAAGTCCACTGACTGTGTCAAAAAGAGGAGAAAACAACTAAGAACAAATTAAAAAACTTATACAAAGAAAAAAAACTTAGATAAAGGAAAAAACTCAAAATATATTCCTGGAGGGTTTTGACATGTTTTTTTGAACTTTTTATTATGGTTTTATTCTTTTGTTTATTTATTTGTTGTTTCCTCAGAATAAAGTTTTGCCTCAAATGCAAATCTTTAAAACACTATAACTTTAAACTCGTTTACGCTTTTAATCTAATTTTTTTTTTTTTTTTTTTTTGATTTTTTACATAATCAATAGAGATCCGGATGAGAGAAGGATATTTAAAATAAAATAAGGAAAGTACTTTTTTATGAGACTAATGTTGGCTATTCGTCCACCAATTTTTCTATGTTTGTTTCTAATGTTGTAACTTTTTATATACCGTAAAAATACCGGGTTACTTTGAATAGCGGGGTAACTTTGAATACAAATCCATTTTTTCTCAAGTGGTAGTTATGGCAAGAATTTATATAAAACTGTTTGAATCTCAAACATCAAAGTGCTAAAAATAGTTTATATTTTAATTATTTGAAGTTTTACTTTGTTTATTGGTTGTTATTGTTCCCCAAAAAATGAATTAAATAATTCGGATAATTTTCTCAAAAAAATTAGTCAGAATACTTTGTACATACTATAGTTATGTTTATATATATTTATGTATATGGGTGCGTGTGTATGTGTGTGTGTGTGTGTGTGTGTGTGTGTGAGTGTTTGTATATGTATGTATATATATATATATATATATATATATATATATATATATATATATATATATATATATATATATATATATATATATATATATATATATATATATATCAATAAAATACTCAATAAAATAAAGTCTAAAAATGTTCTTGAGCCTTAGTTAACCTAGTTACATTAATAATGTATTAAAGTTACGTCATAAATTACAATTTCATGGTCTTTTAAGTTTATACATGTAATAAGACATTAATATATTGATAACAGCATTTGTCGCATATCTTTCTAAAATAAATTGTTAACTTATAATAAAAAGTTAAAATACTAATTAAAAAATTTTCAGCAGATTTTTCTTTGGTTTGCACACAGGCATCAGCTCTCTATGTGCCTTTGTAGCCCTTATGAACCCATCTTTTCTCTCAGCATCACACACCAACATTGAAGCCCTGGTGGCCTCTTTCACAGTGTGTTCAATAGATTAACCATGAATAGGGAAGTTTGGTAGAATCGTTGAATTATTAATAAACTGTATCAAACATCTAACTTCATCTTTCATTAAACAACAAGTAAGAACCAGTTCACTGATCTCCTCTATTTCCCAATTGATTAAATCTATTAGACTATTTGATTTAGTGTTTATCACTGATGTTCTTCTATTTCTGCTTTTTTTGTCTCCAGCGTCCTTATTTTTTCTAACATCAATTATCTTCTGCACTGCAAATCTCCTTTCTCCTTCATCTGAACTACAGAGTATTGCCTGAAGAATACATTCATTGTGTGCATTCCAGGCAGGAGAGCAGACATGCGGTAATACAAAATCCTTCATAAACTTGTTCTGTTTCTTTACCAAAGCTAGTTGTTCAAAGATATGACATGGACCTTGAATCCAGCTATGTTTAGTCTAACTACTTTTTTATTAGTATAATCACAATTGTGTTAAAATTATTAAAGTAAATTGTAGTATTTAAGTAAACTATTGTATTATATCTTTATTTACATAACTAAGTTTATTACCTTAAGCTCAAACCACATAATAGAATAAACACCTATGATGAACTCTGCTAAAAATTTCAAGTTTTGTAGATCTTTGTTTTCTAAACCATGCTCAGTGCACCAGATTCAAAGAAGCCTATTTGCAAGATTCAGCCATCTTGAATGATTGTGCAGGCCAATTTGAATTTCCTTTAAATCATCAGGAAAAATACCCAATGCTATTGCATTATATTTTCTGTATAAACACTTCTGATCTGTAGACAATGAATCTACAACTACCTTCTCGGGATGAATTAGGTCTACAAAAAAATCAAACTGAGGGATGTATGTCAAAATAGGAAGATTTGTTGCTATGTTAATAAGTTTTTTGATGTTTTCTGAGAATCTATTTTCAGATAAGGTTTTTTCATCTAAAGCTAACACTTAATGTCTAAGTGGCGATTTGTTGGTATGTAGCGCACAAGTAATAAAGATAAGTTTGAATCCTAATTTCTTCTCTAAATATTGAATAACTCCATCATTCCAACCTATAATAATTTTTTATTTTCAGTAAAAAAAAAAAGTACGTAAAATTTTGAACTGCTATTTAAAGAAATAAAAATAAAACCTGCGTTAAGGTTGGTTGAATCTCCACCAATTGCAACTAATTGGTTTTCAATGTCATGTGCTATTATCCAACCATATAGTTGTTCAGCAATATGTTCAGCAGGTGTTCAATCTTCTCTCTTCTCTGAATTATTTACAAAGTGGAATAAATATTTTCCACCAGGTTCAAAACAGACACTATAATGATCTTCTTTGATCTCCCTAGGGTAAGATTTACCATCATTGCCATATACAACTGTTTTTGTAAGGTCTTTTCTACCATCGAACATTATATGCCCTCTTCCTTTTCTTCATTATGTTTCTCTTTACAGACCTTTATTACTCTTTGCTTTGATCTCTCAATTTTTTTATAATCTAGAGCTAGGCTTTTATAAGCTATATGATCTATTAAAAAACTTGCATCTTTGGCTGCTTTAAATGTTGCAGTGCCTATTTGATCTCTCAATTTTTTTATAATCTAGAGCTAGGCTTTTATAAGCTATATGATCTATTAAAAAACTTGCATCTTTGGCTGCTTTAAATGTTGCAGTGCCTATTTGATCTCTCAATTTTTTTATAATCTAGAGCTAGGCTTTTATAAGCTATATGATCTATTAAAAAACTTGCATCTTTGGCTGCTTTAAATGTTGCAGTGCCTATTTGATCTCTCAATTTTTTTATAATCTAGAGCTAGGCTTTTATAAGCTATATGATCTATTA